TAGTGTGTGTTGATTTTAGTTTTTATATAATTTTAATACAAAATAACTTAATAATTATTTATATACAAATACAATTAATAAATAATAGTATATTATATAATATATATATATATACAATATTAAAAAAATTAAAAAATATAATAAAAAATATATTTTTTTCGGGCAATTCGGGCGGGCTTGGGCAGCCAAAACCAAGCCCGCGGCCTGTCCAAGGGTATTTTCATGCTCGGCCAGGCAGGTTCAGGTGTCAGGCTCAAATTTAATTTTTTCGGACGGTCGCAGTTGACCCGTCTAAAATTTCAGCACTAATATCAAACACAATTGCGTTTGATAAGCAAATAAAAAAATAAAAAATAAGTTCACTTTAGGATAACCTTATCCGGATAGTGTAAGGACATTGTAACTTTAGTTGATTAATACGTGGGAATTAAAAAAACAAAAATAAAAACTTGTTATTAACCGTGGAAATGGCCAGCAAAATCTGAAGAAAATGTGGAGAATTTTTTAGCAAGTAGAAAAGAAATACAATATTTTCAGGGCACATTTTTTAACCGATAGATATAATTAATTCAAGACAGTTTTTAATTATTAGATTAAATCAAAATTATATCGTAATAAATAAAGTATAATAATTTAAAAGAATTAGTTTATTAAGATCTGGCGTCAAAACTGTCTTATTGGTGGGTATTTTTTCAAACCATACCATAAAATATACATCTGTACAACTATAGTTCGATGAGAAAAATCATTGTTCCTTTTTCTTTTTTCTTTCTTTCTTTCTAGTTACTTGAAGAACTTTTTGTTGTGCCGAATAGGAATCGAGGCAAAACGGTTTAGTTTCCGATTGTGTCCTTCTTCCATAGATTGTAGTAATTCAGATTTCTCATATTACTACAAGGGTTTTTTCTTCTAGAAACAAAGTTCTCTTTTTATATTAGCCTTTCAAACTCTAGTCAGCAATATTATTCTACTAGCATTTTCTATTTTTCTATTTTTCTCATTGTCTCCTAATCTAAACAACCCCATTTCTCTCTTCTTCTTCTTTTTTTTTTTTTTTTTTTTTTTTTTTTATTTTAATTCTGTCTTGTATATGCTCATTGTAAGAAGCTTCAGTGGTCTACAACGAGGACTTCATCCCACTGAATTAGAAAAATTATTTCAGCTAAGAAACAAAAAAGTAATTAGTCTAGATAAGTTTGTACAAGGTTCAATGACAAATTAGCAGGTGATTGGAAATGATAAATTTCCTAAAGCGTGCTTTGAAAATCCGATGTTATATCTGTTTATGATTCATAATTATTCTTGGTTGTTGGATTCAGAATTATTCTCGATTTACGTGTGTTTTTTGTGAGAGAAAATACTGTAATGAGCTACGAACTATAATCCGAATCATGACACGGATTCTTGCACCAAACGCACCCAAATCACCTCAAAATAAAAATATTATATTTAATAAAAATATAACAGCCCATATTATATTAGAACAGTTGTTTCAACCATTACCCAAAAAATTTTGAATATGTTACGTGTGAAATAAGATAAGAAAACAAAGGAAAAGAAAAAGTTGCCGCCTATCCATCTCAAACGGTAGGTTAATTATTCTTACTGTTCACTTGAATGAGCAAATACACAGGAAAAAGATCATTTTCTCTTTAGCTAAAATTTGTTATTATTATTTTTTTAAGGAATAACTAACAATTCTCATTTTCATCCTATTTATTTGCCCACCTAATTGCCGCCTTTCATCATCAAAGCAATAGTAGTACTATATGTGTACGGCCACATGAGGAAATAAAGATGGAAAAAAAAAAGGTGAATCATTCTTTTATCATCTGTTTATTTAACATTAAAGAACAACCTATATTTTTTTATATGTATTTTTAATCATTATCATCCATGCTACAAGTGCTGTATTATTTAGTACTAGTCCATTGGAACAAAATAAAGGTCACGATTTACACCTTTTTCTCTCTAGTAAAGGATTGGGTTGCTAGATATAAAAAAGGGATAAAAAAGAGGATTAGGTTTCTCTTGTTTTTTTGTCGACTTTTAACTATTACAAGAAGTTACTCTTGCTTTATAATGATGTCCCAAATTATGCTCTTGAAAAGATTTTTTATCTTATCTTAAAATTGAGAATAAAGAGCCCGTTTAGTTTATGGATTAGAACTATGAGATTATAACCATTTTTGATTTACGTGTATTTTTTGTGAGAAAAAATATTGTAACGAACTATGAATCATAATTCTAATCAAAGAACGAATCCTTCAACCAAACGGGCTATAAAAGATTCTAACTCTTGAGCTTAATATCAAGATCTTAATAGCAAAGGCAGTGAAATAATCATTATTTTTCATATTTTCTTTATTTTGAACAAAGTATAAGTTAGGTCGCTTGCAAAATAGAAGCCAGGCATACCTAGATTTTTTTTTTTTTTTTTGAAGCCAAGAAAGACTCGAATTGCAAGTTATGGGTATTGTACTAATAATTATAATGATTTTTTTTTTGCAGTTTTCCTAACATTGGTCATTGAAAAAAAATGAAATTCTGCACCGATTAGTCTTTCGCCTTTCTTCAAGGTAAAGCAATAATCACAAAATTATACATGTGTGTCCCAAGTAAAACGAGAGTTTTCATCTTGTATTTAAGAAGACAAAAAAATATGTAAAATACTAAAGGTAATTGCGTCTTTATCCTTTTAAATTTGAATATTCTCGTTGATTATCACTACAAATTATTTAAAAAACTAAAGGTAATTCGTAATTGTGTCTTTATCTTTTTTAAATTTGACTGACTATTTTTTACTACAAAAAGTATTTGTTTACGGGATATTTTTTGTAATAATTGCATGAGTAAATAAACAAGGGTAAAAACTAATTGTTAATCATTTCTTCGGAAAGATTGTTATGCCCCGTTTATTTCACCGATTTGAGTTTAGAATTCAAGTTTTACTATAGTAAAAAGCTTTTAAAAACAGTCACATCTAACTTTTTTATTATAGTAAAAAACTCTCACATAAAATCACATCTCAACTCAAATTAAAAGCTTAAATCAACGAGCTAAACGAGCCCTTAGTCATTTCATTCGATGACAATATGCTTTCATCATCTATTCTATCACACACAATAAATAAAAATAAAATAAAAAACTAAAACAAAAAAGATTTGTTAAGTTAGGGTGACTTGAGTTCAGATATTGATTTGATTTAAGGTGTATTTAAGTATGATTTGAGTTGAGACTCTAATTTGAATTTGTGTTTGGATGTGCAAATTTTGAGTTACGGTTTAAATTGAGAATCCATTTGAATTTGTATTTAGATGGATCAAAACTTAAATTTGTATTTAGATAGTATTTTAATAAAAACTCTTTTAATAGGGTATATGGGTGATGTTTTATTCGTCTATTTATTGTGAAATCATAGAAAAATAAATAATCTCAATCAGAATTAAAACGAAAAAATTTTGGTGTTTTTAATAATAGAAAAAATATTGTTTATTAACTTGAATTTGAGTTTATGAACTTAAATTAAAGGGAGAATTTGAACTCAGATTTTAGCCATAAACTCAAGTTAAAACTCAAATTCAAACTTAAATTTTACTAAAAAAATATAAACTTGAATAAAATTATAAATTGAGTTCAAACTTTTTTTAAGTTTGAGTGTAAATAAATAAACTATTTATCTTTAAAAAGATTCTCTAAAGCATATTAATAGATTAAATTTTTTTATCTATTAAACATACATATTTTTTAATTTTTACGTAATTTTATACTGACTTAATTAAAAAAGCTTAACATAATGTATTAGCGTATCGGTGTCTTAAGAGTTGTTCTTTTAAAGTGTAATTTGAGTGTAATTTTTAAGTTAAATTTGAGTTAAAGTTGTAACTTGAATAAAATTAAATAAAATTAAATAAAATTAAAACTAAAAAAAATATAAACTTAAATAAAATTATAACTTAAATTTAAATTTTTTATTGAATTTTATTACAAAAGAATAACCATTTATTTTTTAAAAGAAAAAGCTCATAGCTTTATACAAGTTCTGGGGTCATGAGTCGTGACTCACCCATGTCCAGTTTGAGCATGAATCTCGAGTGGGACCCATGTTCGATATCAGTTATTTTACACAAAATTTGCAGGTCTTCAATAAACTACAAACAGAGCTTGGGAGAGTTTCTCTCTCCTCTCTCTCTCTCTCTCTCTCTCTCTCTCTATTTGTCATGATCTCTGGGGGTGGGTGGTTCTGTTTGTATCTCTAGAAAATGTGCCAAACCAAAAGAGTTACAGAAAAACCTTTTCTTATTTATTAACTCACCTCTCTCTCTACGTCTTTGGTGTGAGTAATAATTCATTTCTATTCCTTACCAAAAAGAAAAAAAATATGTTTTTTTATCATTAGTTCTTTTTTATCTCTCTTTTGTCTGTAAAACTCTGTGGAAGAAAAAAATATTATTTTTTTGTATGATAAATCGGGTCTCTCTCACTCTTGGGCTCTTGGGTGTTTCTGAGTGTTCGTGTCAGAACGGAAGAAGAGCCATAACGGGAAATCTATCGAAAAACAAAGAAAGAAAAAAAGAAAAGAGCAAAAAAGTGAGGAACAACATTTAAGAATGGATGACTCTGAGTTTGTTGAGGTTGATCCAACGGGCAGATATGGCAGAGTAACACCTCTCTTTCTCCCTCTATCTTTCTCTTTCCCGCTCTTGCTTTTGTTATCTTGTTATTATCATCATGTTTGGTGAGTTTGATTTGGTGTCTTTTTTTTTCTTTTTTTTTTTTGGCAGTACAATGAAATTCTCGGCAAAGGAGCTTCAAAGATAGTGTATGAAATCAAGATCACATTTTTTCTGTTTTTCTTGCCGACCCATTTCAGATTTCTCCAAATTTAAGCTCTATTGAGAAGTTTTGTGAGATTTTGATGATGGGATATTGGTGGATTTATCTTTTTTGCTGATTGGTTTATTTTGCAGTTATAGAGCATTTGATGAGTATGAAGGGATCGAGGTTGCTTGGAACCAGGTCAAGCTTTATGATTTCCTTCAAAGTTCTGAAGATCTTGAGAGGCTTTATTGTGAGATTCATCTCCTAAAGACATTGAAGCACAAGAACATTATGAAGTTCTACACTTCTTGGGTTGATACTTCAAATAGGAACATCAATTTTGTCACTGAAATGTTCACTTCTGGAACTTTAAGACAGTATGCATCGCATTCCATGAATTTTCACCAACTTTTTTTTTCTTTTCTTTTATCATTTTGCTATGTGGGTGTTTTGCATTTCTTATTTTTGTTACTTATGACTAATAATAGGTACAGGTTAAAGCACAAGAGAGTTAACATAAGAGCGGTGAAGCACTGGTGTAGGCAGATCTTGAGAGGGCTTCTCTATCTTCACAGCCGTGACCCTCCTGTGATCCACAGAGATCTCAAGTGTGACAATATCTTTGTCAATGGGAACCAAGGAGAAGTGAAGATTGGTGATCTTGGCCTAGCAGCAATTCTCAGGAAATCTCATGCTGCTCACTGTGTTGGTAACTGATTTGCAATTTCATGAATCTGATTTCTCATTCTGAAATATGATGCTGCAAATTCTGGGTTAGAGTAAATTTTCAAGATTAAAGAAGTTAAAATGTTCTTTGGGGTTTTTGTTTATTTTTATTGCTTGATAGGGACACCTGAATTCATGGCTCCTGAAGTGTATGAAGAGGCATACAATGAATTAGTTGATATTTATTCGTTTGGGATGTGCATTTTGGAAATGGTCACTTTTGAATATCCATATAGTGAATGCAATCATCCCGCTCAGATCTACAAGAAAGTTATGTCTGTAAGAACTTATTCTCTGCTTTTTCACATGTTTTACTTATTCATTTTTAAAAATGGAACAACTAAATTCCATTTGACATTCATTGATTGTTTAGGGCAAAAAACCAGATGCGTTATACAAAGTGAAGGATCCAGAAGTGAGACAATTTGTTGAGAAGTGCTTGGCAACAGTATCTCTTAGGCTCTCGGCGAGAGAGCTCTTGAACGACCCTTTTCTCCAAATGGAGGATTCTGAATACGATTTGAGACCAGTAGATTATTATGGGGAAGAGCTTGATAACTTAGGTCCTCTCCTTAGGCGGCCTTTACTTGAGCTTCAAAGAACCAGCAGTTCCTTTAGCAATGGATACTTGAATGGTTATGCTTTTCAGGACCAAAACGAATGGGGGTATCAACCTGTTGAGCTTGAAGCAAGTGGAATTGAACTTTTCGAGCATCATGATGATGAACATTGTGAAGAGGCTGGCATAAGTATCAAAGGAAAAAGGAGAGATGACGGTGGCATCTTTTTAAGGCTTAGAATTTCAGACAAAGAAGGTTTGGTTACCTATGTTTTTTGTGAATTCTTGACATTTTTGTTCATTAGGCAAATCAATTTTAGCAAATGTATAACCATATCATTGCAGGCCGCATTCGAAACATCTATTTCCCGTTCGACATTGAAAACGATACAGCATTCAGTGTTGCGACTGAAATGGTTGCGGAGCTGGACATCACTGATCAGGATGTCACCAGAATAGCAGACATGATAGATGGTGAAATTGCTTCCTTAGTACCCGATTGGCAAACTGGTCCAGGCGTAGTAGAAACACCCCACTTTGGTAATCAGAACTTATGCCACAACTGTGCTTCCAACCATACGTCTGGCGGTTCTTTACTGTCGTTTCTGGCAAATAACCCCGCCGTCAGTTCCAACAATGTTGGTCAGTGTTGTAGACATGGATGTGCCTCAATGCACGGTCGTTTCGAGGAGATCACATACCAGGCTGATGAATCGGATCATCACGAAAGTAGAGAACTCAGTTCGGTTGGCTCTGGACAGAGCCATTCAGATGAAGAAGATGAGAAAATAGATCAATCAATAGTCACAACAAAGGCCCAGAAGGAGATCAAATTGGATAACAATATTGAGACCAGTGCTAGAGGTTCTTTCAGAAACTTATCAGGTTCTCATTCTTTATCCTCAATCTCTTCAACTCATAATGAGCTCTCAGACAATCATGAGAAGGGAATGGTGCAGGGACTAAGATGGCTCAAAGCAAAGCATCAGATGGAACTGAGAGAGCTCAAAGATCATCAGTTAGGACTTGTCTCAAACTCTTCAAACAATGGAAATACAGAACACAGATTAGACAATGGGTTTTTGTCGTCTCTGGTATTAAACACACTAGGAGAAAACAACGGAGTCGTCTTCCAATCTTCTGCTTATGACAGCAGCCAATTCATGAGTTCCGATTACCGCGACAACAATGTCAATAAGAGCAGCCCCGGTTCGGAGACCCAAAGGGCCCGAAAATGCGCGGCGATGGAGTCTTCTCCTAATGCTGAGGATATGGTCAATGCCAAGAGTTTACACACAGGCTCGCTATTCACTCATTCTCTTCACAGAACAGTTTCTCTCCCGGTAGATGCTGTTGACATATAAATTAAACTTGTGAGGCACTATTTCGGATTCTTTTATAAATTTTCCACACACGTATAGAGGCTGTACAATTAAGTCCAGCCCTTTTCTTTTTTGACCATCTAGTATGAAAAATCACCTTCGTTTTGCTTCTTCAATTATACATCTCTCTCTCACACACACATACATATCGAAGAACTAACCATAAGAATAATATTTCATCAACTTGTTTGACTACAGGACTAAATATGTAATAGCGCGTCGGTGTTGTCACTTGAGCATTATTAAATTTTACAAGTGTAAAGTTCTTGTTTCCTAGGAGTTCTGGTCGATGATGCATTTGCCTTTAATTTACTATACTAAAAATAGAGTTGGAGCATCTTTTTGTAGGATGTATTGATTGGTGCTTTTGATTGAGAGAGAGAGAGAGAGTTGTTTAAGAAAGACTAGAGATGGGATCATGATGCAGTGAATTATTTGGCATGTAAGTTGTAGCTGGCCAATGAGATCTTGAATTCAAAGGTTTGAGTAGGCCCCCATACTTTATGTCAATCATGGGGGGTGTTTTTCCACAGACCACGCATTGTATTGTATGGGCCACCGAAAGAAATGATGTTCCATGCATCCTGATCGACTTAGAATCTGCTGGCTTACCATTTCTCTTATATATTTTAATATATTGGGATTTTTTTTTGGTAGGCATGAGTAGGCAAGAAAAAGAAGGGTATAATATTGTTTTAGACTGTCAGATTTTTTATCAGATTCTCTATATATATTTTTTTATTTTAATATGATTTTGATTAAGTTTAATATAAAAAAACATGTACTACCAATAGTATTTTCTTACTAAAAAAGCTCCTACTAAGGATTTCAACCCTAAAAAAATTGTAGTGGAATCGATGGTACAAAAGATATAGAATGGTCCACAATATTAACTCACTTACGTTGACTTTGAGATTGACATCAATGATCATCCAAATCTCATCTAATTCACTTTTCCCACCAAGTGGTCTGGCATTAGATTGTGCGAGTTGTGCAATGGGCCGAAATTAAACAAAGAGCAAATCAGTCATCAGTCATTATTAATTTGAAATGTTGATGTCAAAGTAGGAAAATCATACTTTCGTGCCTACTATTGCTTTTAAGTTTATTTTCATTTTAATCTCATGCATGATTTCGTTTGCCGGGCATTGAATGATCACCTCTCTGACTCTCTCAAATAGTATTAAAATTGCCAACTTTGATTAGAATATTCATTCTTTTTTTTTTTTCTATAAGTATAGGAAATTCATTCTATGGATGCGTCACGAGTTGAAATAAACCAGAAGTTTGAGTACAAGAGAATTTGATTATTCATTGGTTAGATCACCAATATGAACTGTTTTATCCGAATTACTTAAGTTGACATCAAATCATTAGTCAATACGCGTCGAAGACCATTCTCCTTGTGAAAATAATAATAATAATAATACGGAAATGGAAAGGATTAATTGTGAGATGTTTGTTATTTGATCTCCATAAATTCTATCAGAAAAAAAAAAGTTTAGTGGAATACTTGTGTTGATAACTAATAAATAACTATTTTATTTCTGCCATTAATTATATGGTATGAACTCGTATTTTATTAGAATACGTTTCATATTCTATTAGAATATATTTTAATAGCATAAATAATAAGATGATGAAAAATAACGGCTATTATGATTTTCTCTAATTATTAATATCTCAAAGTAAGTTAAGATTCTCAATCAGTGGATCTCCAGCCAGTGAAGCTTGCACACAATTTAACAATCTTTTATAGATAAAAGAGGTGATCTTAAAAAAAAGCCAGTTTTAGTTGTCATATACAAAGAGCACTATCATGGAAGCAAAAGCACAAGCATATGCAAATTGAATAGTGATGTGTGTGTGTGTGTGTGAGGCACTTTTAAATGATAGAAAAAGTTTGCATGTTTTACTTTTCTCAAATAAATAAAGTCCCCAATCTACTTGTCCAGAGACAATGATTGTGTGTGTGAAGTTTCTTTCTTGTTATGGACAATAGCATATAAAAGTATGCTTGCCATTTAGTGACTATACCTATAGTAGACTTTCTAAAGTAGAGAAATTAGTCACAAAGAGAGAAATTTTCCCCTCGCAATAATATTGGATTTTTCCACAAGAGAATTAGTGTAATTTGTACTACATAAGAGGAAGTTTTTCCACAACTTTTTTCGGAGGTGTTGCATTGAAAGACAACCATTTTCCATGTTGAATGAAGCCTAGAAAAAATAAAAGCATGAAATAACCCCAATTCCAAGGTCCCACCAAAAATTATCACAAAAAAAAAAAAAAAAATTTCTTAACTTATTCATGCTTCTTTTTGCTTGAAAAATCCATAATCTGTATCGCCAGAATTAGAATATTCATACGACATTCCACCCATATAGTTGATTCAACAAGTTGCAATAAAAGTCTCACAGTGGGAAGATATTCTGCTTTCACATCTTTTGCATCCGATTCCAGTCAAATGTAACTTTCCGTGGCATATAACTGAAAGTAAACCTAGCATTCTACAAAGTCAACTAGCATCAAAAATAGTTTTATGGCATTTAACAATAAATGGAATGTATACTTTCTGTAATTTCCAGACAATTCCCATGTTTTAAAGATGAAAAAAGTCACCATTAAGAGTAAGAGGTAAAGACACCAAAAAGAACAAAATCTGATGAAACTTTAGAATTATAGAGCCGGTTTGTTTCACGCATTTGAATCTATAATGCTGATTCTGTTACAACACTTTTCTCTCATGAAAATTTGAATAAAAAAAGCTCTCACCAATGACTATCTCACAAAATTTAAATTTAAATTTAAAATCACTGACCAAACAGACCAATAATATGCTAGTAATTTAGAACTGGACCCAATTCTGAAGTCTATCTAGGTCGGTGCAGTTCACGAACCAGGCTTATCAAGAAAGCATCAAAAACTACGTTAGTGGTTTGAGATATATATTTTCTTTTCCCTATTTCATCTCAAAAAGGAACAAATAGACGGCATGGAGAATGATGTTCTCCCACATCCAAAGGAGCAGGGAGTGTTAGGCATTACTCCACAATAGATGAAAACGACACTGCTTCCGGACGCTTGGTCAGCACCGTCCCTTGTTCTTTTCACACTCCTAACTAGATTTGGCTTTTCTAGCTAGACTCACCTTCGTCTAAGATTGTAATAAATAAGTAGACGAAAACCAGACATTTTAGTACTCTAGGACAACTCACCCAACAGAACCAAAAATATCAAGAGCCTTTTCCTTGAACCATTGTGATTTGAGTTTCAGCGAACTTGCCCAATTCACCTCAAAAGAATGTTCTTCGTGTGGTCACTGGTTATCTGCGGAAGAGATTAACTAATTTGACAGATGAACTTCACAGGATCAGGGAAATCAGTTACTAACAATCTATAACAATCTATGGTAAGGTATAAAAAGGGGAAAAAAAACAAAAAAAAAAAAGAAAAAAAACTCCCACCACAGCTTAATTTTAAAATTATATGTAGAGTCCATTTAATTTGTTGATTCAAATTTTTAATTCGAGTTGAAATGTAACTTTACGTGATAGTCTTTTATTATAGTAAAAAAGTTAAATGTGACTGTTTCTGAAAGCTTTTTACTGTAGCAAAATTCGAATCGGTAAAATGAATTAGGCCGTAGTTTAACAAAACTAGATGGAAATTGTGTCTACCAGAGTTAAGAATTGTGTCTACCAGTAGTTTTTTTTGCCCTTCCTATTCTCTAAAGATGATCTTAATTGTGAATGAAACCGGAAGATGTTGAAAAGAGGTGACAGCAAGTCGAATTGTATTATTTCTTCTGAAAGACTCTAGTTTCTTCTACAGTGTCAAGATTTGGAGGGGGGAAAGGAGGATCAATTACGCACCAATGCTGTCAATATCAATAGGCCAAAATGAAAACCGTGATTGTAACCCTCGGTGCGTGGAGAGTCTAACTGAAAGAACCTCCAAAAACAAAAGTTAGGCAGACGAGCGAAAAAAAAGGGAGGTAATGCTTTAATGGTAATTAAAAAAAGTAATGTCCTTTCCAAGAGGAAAAAGAAGAGAGGGATCAGACCCATTTACCAAGTCAAGCTCACTGCTATCAAAACTGTAATTCACAACATGGTGCTCTGTCCTTTTTATCCAGAAGTCAAGAGTGAACTCTAATCAGATTGTAGGCTGGTATTATAATTTCTATATACTATACACAATTTTGCTTTACAAATTGCCGATCCAATTCGAATGATGCATGGTGCAAAAGAGCTGCATGTACTCTTACAGAGGCCTGAGAAGAGGGTAATCTTCAAGTAGTTCACGCTCTGAAAGAGTGTCATTTTCATTCTGCGGGGTCCACAAAACTTCTACTGCCTGCAGAAAACAGAAGAATATATTTATCCAGTCAACATGAATGATAGAGGAAAATATTCGTAATCATAATGAGAGAAAGTTCCTTCTTACAAGTATTTTGTGGGAGGGAATAGAGCCAAGCTTTTGCAAGGCTTCCTTCAAGTCCCGACCACCATTGATAACAGGCATCTTATGCACTCCTTCAGCAGCCACCAAAATTGAAATCTAATAGAAAATCATGAAATGAAAAAAAGGAGTGAACATCATTTCTATTCCTTGTGAAACTCCTAAACTACCAAAGCAGTCATGACTCTAGTTTTTCAAAATTTTGAAATAGTTCAGTTCGGGGAAGGGCATCTTCAAATAATCAAGTTTCAGATGTGATTATACAAATATTATGTTAGATACTTAAAAGTCCCACATATCGGGGTTATAAGCCTTTGGGTCCCCACACCTTGCAAGCCGGTTTTGCAAGGTTGAGTTCTAGCTAAATTAATGGGCCCTAACATGTATTTAGGCTAACTTCGTTTGCAGTCCCACCCTCCAAGAGTGAGGAATAGAGATCTAATCATTAAGCAGAGAATCAATTTGTCGCCAGTGAAGATGCGCAGCACATGGAATATTTGAGTAAATAATTACCCTCACAATAAATTCACATCTTGAAGAAATTTTGCATGCGATTGGAATAATGACAATGCAATCAACTAGTCAACTAGAAACAGACAAGTTCAACAACCAAAACATCACACTATCGATCGACATATGTCACAATTTAATTTGAAATAAAGCCATCTTCAATGGAAACTTACCACTATATACTCGTTGCTAAATCCACTAGCCCTCTGGCTTGTTGTGCTTTGCCTTTTTATGTTGTTCACATTAACAAGCGTCTCTTCATCAAATTTGCCCCGCTCTTCAATAGAAAGTTGATTGAAACGTTTCTCTCCATCCTCCATGCTCCGCTTTATATCCACCTACAGGCACATCAGAAGTGACTTACGCCTTCAATACTGCTAATGGGTAAGCTTAGTCATATAATTTATTTTACATGCAATGTATTAACTATCAAAAGATCCCACCATAAAAGGAATAACATAGTTGGCATAGCATAGATCTATAAATGATTATGCAGAGAATTTAGAAAACACTGATGCAACAAAAGAAACACGTGTTGCCAAAGACAAATTGAACTTGAACTAAATTGTTAAGAGCAACTGGTCCACATAACAATGTAGGAGAAAATAAGAGCATCAGTTACTCAGTGTCTCTATAAGCCGTCAAATGTGCTTGTATTAGTTGTCATTATTCACTCTTCTAGATCACCCCTTATCTTTTTGTCATATTACATGTCATATGAGACTGTATTGGCATCAGAGGAAAGCTAAATGCATCTCACAAGGAACAGTAGTCAAGAATTTCGGAGATGGTATCAAACTTACAGATGAATAACCAGAAATGCAGTAGTCAGGGTGCCGAAGCAAGGCTAGTGTTGTCTCTGCAACCAAAAGTTCCCCATTAAAAATACCAAAAAAAAGGAATACATTTAAAATTTTTTTTTTAAAAGAAAACCACTGCCTAAAAATTGCCTCATAATAGACAAAGGTAAAAAAAAAAAAAAAAATTCTATGACGCTAAGAGTGGCTACATTTAAGATTTTTTTTTTGTCAAAAAAAAAAAAAAATTTTGCACGTTCCAACCAAATACTTTCAAGTCATTGTGGACCAAAACAAATGGTTACAACCTGACTCAAACAACATCCACATTAGACATTATAGGAAAACGAAATGTTAACCAAAGAAAAACAAGTGAATTATTGTACTCAATTAGAAACTTCACCTGTCAACACATAGCTTAAGCCCTCAGGGGTGGAGGTATCTGCAGTTTCAGCAATCCGATTAAGATCCCTTTGAAGTGCTCGCCCCATGCCCAACAATCCAACCTACAAAGACACGTATTTTGAGGACATCTTAGAATAATGTCTTCGTAGATATATAATTAGGAGGAAAAGAAAAGCTCCTGTAAAGTTTGAACTGCAGCGTTAGCATTCAACCAAAAACCTCAAGCAGGTTTACCTGACTCAATGACTACTAGCATAGCATTCTTTTCCAAAAGGGTGCCATTATCTTCATTTCTTAAATCATAATAAGCAGTTTTTTTTTTTTTTTCGAAAAGGGTGCCAATATCTTCAGTTCTGAATCCAAACAATTAAATTGCATAGGAACGAATGCAATATAAGGTAAAATGTTCCCACATTTCGCATTTCAGTAACATTGTTTATGCTAAATTGAGAAAATTCCAAGCAATTCCAAGAAAAAAATACTCCCAAAAATTCATCAACCAGACATATTTCACAAAAAAGAGAGAAAAAAAAAATCATTTTTTCACCATACCTGAACCTTGAGAACGCTGGTTTTTTCAGTAGCAGTAAGCACGCTATCCTCAGACCGATCCGAAAGAAACCCCGAAACCAGAACAAATGCCGCGAAGCCCATCAATATCAGGAAGAAACTCGACCCGGCGCCCACTCCGACCGCCGGCCCCACATAAACCCCGCCGCCAAACCCAAACGGCGACGGCGCATAGTACGGCACCGAATAGGAAAACCCCGGCCCCGACGTCCGCGGCACCGAGTAACTCCTCGACGATGAAGCCGCCGGCGAACGCGACGAGAACGACTTCCCGCCCATCCGCCCGCCAGAGGCGGCCAACGCCGTGTTCGGGTCGTACATGAGCAGCAACCCTAGCAAAACCACCGCAATCGCGGGCTTCTTCAGCGCCTTTAGGGCCTTCATTATCGTGCTCGCGACAACCTCAAACGGATTCGCTCTGTTTTCTTCGGGAACCTTCTCGGAGTCGATAGATTGGTTCTTCTTGGCGGCGAAGAAACATTTGACGCTGAGCTTGGAGGAGCCATGGCGGAGCTTTATGATTCCCGTGAACCTGGAAGAGCTAGACCTGGCGAGGTCGTGATTGTAGGAACGCGGACGAGGAAGAGGAGGAGCAGACAGTGGAATTGGGAAGCTTTGCGTCCATTTCGATGGGTTCGCTTCGAGAAGCAACGAAGCCGACGCCATGGATTTAGTGGAATGAAGAAGGAAATTTGGGATTTTATGGAATTGGAAAGGAATGTTTCGATTGATATTTTAGGAGCGAATAGTGGTGTGTGCGACGGCGAGGATTTTCTCTGGTCAGATTTCAGAGATGGTAAAGACCGTAGAGTTGTGGCTAGACATCTTAGATGTGTTTTCACGTAGATTGTAATTTGGATGTCGTATTATGCGTGTCACGTGATTAAATCGAATGGCACGTGACACTTCTTAGTCAAAATTGAAAATTAATCCTCATTTTTTAATCAAAATTATAGAGTATCCAGTAAAAATTTTCACGTGTTCAAAAAATTCAGCAAAAATATCTTAGAGCATCTCTAATATATATAATATTATAATTAATGTACCAATTATAAATTTAATATTTGAGTACAAAAAATACTCTCTAATGTAATATTATTTGCTGCGTTAAATTTCTTATATGTTATATTTTGTGATAAATTTTTCACTAAATATAACATATGAGAAATTTGACATTTCATATAATCAATGTAACTTTTACATGTTCTAATTATTTTATAAATAAAAGTTTAATTTTACAATTTTTAAAGTTTAATAATTATAAGAAAAATTAGATTTAACGTTTCAAATAGCATTATACATTTACACAAAATTGAAAATAACATACTATATCATAAATTTATATGCTAAATATATAATTGACATTAATATTAACATTGAAGATAATCTTAAAAGTAGCAGCAAATATGATAAAACCTTTATTTATTTATTTTTATTATGAGCTATTTACACATCACGAGTAATTTTATCATGAGCAACGTGAATGTACACAATTCAAAACTTTTTAAGCTTCATAATTGAAAATTGAGCGAACGTAGTAAATAATATATTTATGAAATTAAATTAAGTGAATAACATATTTAAATTTATTTAAAATATTGTTTATTCTATAAACGTTTCGTTTATGATTAGTAAAAGAAAAATTTCTTACTTAAATTTTTTGTTTACGAATGTTAAAATAATTTTTTTCACATAAATAAAGATTTTTCTATTATGTAAATTATTTACTTCAAATATTTTTAAAATATGTTATTTACTTAATTTAATTTCATAATAAATTTGCTATTTAGGATTATAAAATTTTATTATGAAGGCACCCCATTTAAAAAAAAAAAAAAAAACTTTTTATTACAATTATAACCTTGCACATAAACGGTTTATATAATTTCATTAATTTTCTTTTGTGATTCTCTCATGTATTCTGAAAAACATGTTATTGCCTGCAATTTCTTCTTGAGGTGGGTTTTGCATTCTCAGTTTGTGTGGTGGGAAGCTTCTTGCTTTCCTCTGTTGGGCTGCAATGGTTTTGGTCAAATGGAAACAAACCAATTGAAAAAGAAAAAGAAAATTGTAAATACTTTAGATTACATTTTGTTTTGTGTTTTTTCTCTTCCCAGGTTGAAAATTTTCATTATTTCTTCAACAAATTGGTTTTGGTAGAATGGCAAAACATTATGAGAACTATTTACATAACAATGAAGATGTCCAAGGGAAGTGACTGAAAATAAAAAACGAAACAAAAAATAATAAGACAAAAGAAGAAAACAAGATAAACAGGTGTATGCTATTGCTTCTTTGAGGGAGTAAGAGAGGCAGAGGGGAGTCGAAAGAATCCATTGAGAAGAAAGGAGTTTGAGGCAGTCAGGTAGGTTTTTTATTCTTTCGCATTGAGTGTTGGAAATTGGGTTCACAGAAATCAGAAACACATTTCAGAGCCGTTTAGTTTATTGATTTAAATTTTTAATTCAAGTTTATATGTGACTTATATATAAATTTTTTTTATTATAATAAAAAAATTAGATATAATTATTTATAATGTAACAAAGCTCGAATTTAATCTAAATAAAATGTCATTTTAGTCATGCCTTTAGGTGTAAATAAAATTTCCTTTTAGGATCAATGTTTGAAAAGCCCAAATTGCCCAAAAGACAAAATAGCTCATAAATTTATTAGGGCCTATAGGTTTTAGTCCAGTTCACGATCCAACTAGAAGGCCCAAAAGCAATCCAATTGCCAGCCTCTGTCGCAGAGTCCTAGGGCATCATATTTTGTAAACCCTAATGCTATAAAAAGGTAGGGTTTTTTTCTTCTCCAGTTCTTTCTGCCTGAGCTACCATAACCGTTCGCGCCTCCTACTCTCCTCTGTGCTTAATCGAGCTCTTCCGTGGCTAGCTGATTTCACCAGCAATGGCGGACAAGGCAGTGACCATTCGTACCAGAAAGTTCATGACCAACAGGCTTCTCTCCAGAAAGCAATTCGTGAGTATCCGATTCTCGTTTTCCCTTAATTTCTTTCATTTTCTCGGCAACCAGCGAATCAGGAGACATGATTTTGACGGAAAATGTCTTCCTTTCTTCTATTATAGGTCTGCTAGTCTCTCATGTATTGATGTAGTAAGATTTCAAGTTTGGATTTTGTCAATTTTTCTTGTGGAATATCTTCTTCCTAAGAATTTGTTGAACTCGATCCTTTTTCATATTTGTTCTGTTTTTTTCTTTTTCTCCGTTACCAAAATTTATAGTGTTAAGATATCGATAACAGTGATCAGATCTAGTGTGATATAACATGGTTTTGAAAAAGCAAATGAAAGCGCTAAAACTAGGTTATTTTGATTTTTGTCTCTATTAAAATTACATATTTTAGCTAGGAAGGTGTCTCAGATACCAAAATGTGCTTAAGTTTATCCCTTTTTTCCCTTAGTTTGATTTTTTCTTTTGGAATTCATCTGTCATCATACAATGAGAATGACCTTATTTTCTTAGCAACAGCTTTCTGATATTTTTGTTGCCTGCTCTGTGTTTCTGTGAATTAAAGCCTGATTAGTATGTTCTTCAATTAAGTGATATGTTTTTCTTCTCTGTTAATCGCAGGTCATTGATGTTCTTCACCCAGGAAGACCCAATGTTTCCAAGGTATTTGTGTTTTCAAATTATGACACGATGAATTATCAGTATAGTCCCGCTACTTCGTGTTTTCTTTTTTTATTCAGTAATTTAATTGATTTCGTATTTTGTATTTATTGGCTTGAAGGCTGAACTGAAGGAGAAGCTTGCAAGAATGTATGAGGTGAAAGACCCCAACTCAATCTTCGTCTTCAAGTTCCGGACTCACTTTGGTGGTGGGAAATCTACTGGCTTTGGGTTGATTTATGATACTGTTGAGAACGCTAAGAAATACGAGCCAAAGTACAGGCTCATCAGGGTAAGTTGAAATTTTTTGCCGATTGTTAGGTACACAAACTTTTATGGGTTACACAATTATTTCTCCTTAGTAGGTTTAAGCATGTTTGTTTAGGTACTTTTTCTTTTTTGTATCTTTACTCGTTTACTCCTCTCTTTGTTTGGAATGTTTTGGTTCAAAGCCCCTCAATCTAACATATGTTTTGCGCTATCGTGATTTATTTAGCTGTTATGGTAAAATACTGCTAATTCTTGTGGTAGTTATCCTTCATATATTTTTAGTTAATGCTTTGTATACTTCAAATGATTGCTTAATTATTATTTTTTGGGTCAAATTTTGTATTGTGGAATCCATTGTTTTCCATGTTTCTTAGAATGTTCTGCAAGTAAATTTTGTTTTCTTTTTTTTCCTCATTCTTTTTTCATTCATTATATGTGTGATTTCGGATAATTGTGCTTTCCCCTTTTCTTTAAGGACTAGGAACGTGAATTCTCTATACACATGTATCCAATATGTTAACCATTGTTGCTCTTATAATTTAGCTGAATATGATATTTTATGAAAATAGGAAATTTAGGTGAATATGTCATTTTATGCAGATTAAAGGAATTGATAATCTGATATAGTCGCACAGATCCAATGAAGTAGTAACATGTCCTGTTTTTTCCATGTTTAAGCATGGAAAAAACTGTTGTATGTCTCTTTTGGGTAAAAACTGCTCTTCTGTGCTGTGTAGCACAGGCAACTGGAAGTACTTCTTTCTCGCTTAATTCTGAATTTTGTGGAACAAACAGACGTTACCTTAGTAAGCATAAAGGATCTTCTTTTGTTTTGTGTGTGAGCAAAGTTAAGGTCACTAGATCATTTATCATTTGGATCATTGGTTTGTGTTACGTTCATAAGGATGGTTTCATTTTCTCCCCTCTTTACCTTTTAGTCATGCAGGTCATCAGTGTTTAATTGTTTTCTTCCTTTGGTTATCTCCTCATCCCTAACCAAAGTTTGTCATGAAATGGCAGAATGGACTTGACACCAAGGTAGAAAAGTCAAGGAAGCAGATGAAAGAGCGAAAGAACAGAGCCAAGAAGATCCGTGGTGTTAAGAAGGTAGGCAGATTTTATTCCCTTTGTGAAAAGATTGAGATGCGACTTTGTTTTATTTTGCTTATGATGCTTACTATTTTTCCTCCCTCAACTTTTGGTTCAGAGTAAGGCTTCAGATGCTGCCAAGGGTGGCAAGAAGAAGTGAGGCTAGAGAATTTTTCGCTGCTGTTGAAGCCCATATCAGCAATGGGTTGTTTTAACAGCCTTGTTTTCACATTAGGTTTTTTTGACATTATATGGTATCAGTGTGGATGTCTGTCTCATTTAATGTTTAGTTATTTTATGAATTTTTGAGTATTTTGGACAACAATTTTGGAACATTTAGTAAGCAAGAGATTTAAATATTTTCCCTTAAAGCTTTGATTTAAGAAAACTGTATGAACAATACTGTTTCAAACCAGTCTCTTAGCCAAGTGTTTTCCTATTCGATCATCTATTGAGAGACCATCTTAGTACACTGATCGGCCTAGTGCTCTGTCTAATATGCAAATTGTCAGCGGCGATCCGAAGTACCAGTTGATAATTCCTTTGAGCTTCAAACTTCTGATCTTCTCAAAATAATACTGTTGAAGCAAATAGATATACTTGATTAACACGCTGACATAGTTGTTTTGGGTTAATATTTGTGTAAACTGCAAAACCATTATAACCTAATATGTTGTCGTTTTTAGGATGATTTCTTTTAATACTGTTGAAGCAAATACGTTTTTGAGTAACATACAAATAGTTGTTTGGGGTTCTAAATCGGTATTGCTTGTGGAGCTTGTCTTTCTCAATTTGGTGTTTTGAGCCTTACCAAGTTGCTTCCTAGTTGGTGATTTCTCAAATTAAAAACGTTTTCAGCTTTTGAGACTTCTCTCCACTAGAAGGCCCTTGATCACGCGTTACACTCTCACGAAAGTTCCTAGCTATAAGAATAAAAGCGAAGCTAGTGAAAGCAGAGATTGTTCATTGTTCCCACTGTCTACTAGAACATTAAAATTATCTATGGTGTCTATCATAGAAGATTCTTCCCACTATCTATTGGAAAATATCAGAAATTATCAATGGTGTTTATCAAAGAAAAAATGTTGGAACATTATCAATTGTATCTGCTTATCATAAAAAGTTATCAGAAATTATTGTGTAATACCAAGAAACTTATAGAACGTATACAATTAAGGGCTTGTTACTATCTTTGATACCTAAACTTTTACATTTTGGCACTTGGATCTTTAATTTAAAAATCTTGACAATTGAGTCTCTAAACAGTGTTTTCTTTTTTAAATTTTGAGACCATCGTCAATATAAATTCTAATATGTGTTGTAGTTGGTACAAATGAAAATGACGTATGTCACATGTACTTTAGATTTGTTCTCTAATATTTAACACTTAAAAGCTATTTTAAATGTTGTGTATACTTTTTTGTGATAATTGTTAGACTTTAAAGTTTGTAAAAATGAGATTTTTAAAAAAAAAAAAAAAAAGATTAAAATTCCACTATTATTACTTGTGACGAATAAATGAAAAGTTTTATACGTCAACTAATAGTAATGAAATGCAAACACTTAGCATGTGTTATATTTGGTGGGGCTAATACTTATTAGACCGTGCCAAAGTTTTTTGTACTCGGTTGCCAAATTTTTAAGTGGGAGAAAGAGAGAAATAAGTCAAGACTTGAGATGAATTAAAATTAATAGGTTAATAGTTTACATAAGTTAATAAATAGGTCAAATTACTGTTTTCGTCCATAACTTGTCTGGTTATGAACCATAACTTGACAAGTTATTGTCTATAATTGTCCATAACTTGTCTGACTATGAACCATAACTTGACAAGTTTGTCCATAACTTATCTGGTTATGAACTATAACTTGACAAGTTATGGTCTATTAATTTTTATAACTAAAAATTGGCTTATATACTTTCTTAAATTTTTCATATTGGCATATTTTTTTACTATTTCCCTTTTTAAGTTGAGTAAGTTTAAAATTTCGGGGATAGGAGGCACATAAACATAAACTTAGTTAAAAATCGGAGATGATGGTCATCCACAAAATCATATGCTAATATCATAATAACTTTTGAAGAGTATATGGGGAATCGTCATGTAGTTTATTTACTCATCTTAATGTCGTCTTCAGAATATGCTAAAAAATATATATTATTTACAATAATGGAGGGAAGAGATTACGGAAAATTAAAAGGATAATCAATCGGGTCAAGGAATGTCAAGATACTAATACTATTATGCTTGAAAAATATATGTATATGTGCCAGTTTTATAGGAACCGTCCACATTGTGTGAATCGTATATTAATCTCGATTGTAAATTTGAAATAATAACTCTTAAACACACACAAACGGCTGGTAGTTGGTCCGCAATATCTTTTAATAAACAATAAGAAGAATGAATTAATTGTTTCTTTTTAAAGAAAACAAAAACACTAATTGAAAATTATGTGGCAATATTTAATATACCCAATCATAAAGTTTTTCCCATTTTATTTTTTATTTTTTTCAAAATAACTCTGCAAAAGGAAATTTTCCATCCAAACCCAAAATAATTGAAAATTATGTGGCAACATTTAATAAACCCAAATCATAAATTTTTTCCCATTTTATTTTTTATTTTTTCAAAATAACTCTGCAAAAGGAAATTTTCCATCCAAACCCAAAATTAAATTCATTCTTTCAGGTAAATAACCACCAGCTATTTTTATTTTGTTTTTTCGGGTCAAAATTTTGATTTTCTTGTACCACCACATGAACATGGCATAAAAATAAAAATAATAAAAAAAAGAGAGAGGGAAATATAGAGAAAGAGAGTCAATCAACCGTAAGATTCCCATTTGTCTAACACCTTTCTACACGTCATTTCTTCCTTTCTCTCTCAAAACTCTTTTTCGCACGGTTCTTTCTAGCTCTTCACATAACCCCCAACACACACATATATAAATATATACACACATATAAGTTAGTGTAAAATTCGTGGACCAGCTCTTCTCGTTCCATTTCACTCTTCTCCTCTCTCTCTCTCTCTCTCTCTCTCTCTCTTTTCTCACCCATTTTCTCGATTCCCAATCATGGAGGACGCTAATGGTACAGCTCTTGAGTCTTGATCATCATTTTTATTACCTTTTTTCTTTGTAATTTTCTTTGGCAACGCACTTCATTTTCTTTTCGCAAGTTATTTGGTAATTAATTTGTGTTCAAACTATGATGATGAGTTTGTCTTTGGGAGGAATTTTCCGAGATCCGTATGTTATGATTGTCAAAGCCTCGTTTTTTCAGCACTTTTTTTTGTTGTTGTGAATCTTTGCTGAATTTGATGCGTTTTGGGGTCTGTTTTCACTTCCGATTTCTGCGTTTTTGCCTCGGGATCTGACTTGATTTATTGTAAATTGTTTGTTCTCTTCCAATTCCTGGAAGTAATTATTTTTCTTCACCGGGATATCGATCGAATAAACAGGATGAGAAATTCCAAATTTAAATGGTTGGACAATCTTCGGAGATTTAACTTTTTAATTTAAATTGAGATGTGAAATTTTTTAAAAGTAATTACAGTATAAAAGGTTAAATATAATATTTTTTTAAAAATTTTTAACTACAAAAATTTAAAATTTAAAATTTAAAATTTAAAATTTAAATCGGTAAAATAAAAGATTAAGTTTTTTTTAGGTTCTTTTTTTTTCAGATAAATGTCAGATCACGAAATTTATAGTTCCTTGGCTAATTGGTTATATTTTCCCATAGATTGTAGAAAAAATTGATGATCTGTCTTACTTTCTGCAGTTGTGGAGGCAAAAGACGGTACCATCTCCGTGGCGTCTGCATTTCCCGGTCACCAAGATGGTAAATGCTAAATCCATAACTCTAACATCTCATTATTTGCTTTGTCTTTTGTTATAAAACAGAGCAATTTGCAAAATTATCAGAGCTGATCATTCACAATTGTAGTGCCTTTTTTAATCTCTTTTGAATGTTAATTAGTTGTGCAGGACAGAGACCACAAATTCTTGACACAAGCAGTGGAAGAAGCTTACAAAGGAGTTGACTGTGGAGATGGAGGTCCATTTGGCGCGGTCGTTGTTAGGAATGATGAAGTTGTAGTGAGTTGTCACAACATGGTTTTGAGAAACACTGATCCTACTGCCCACGCAGAAGTCGCTGCTATAAGAGAGGTTAGGCTAAGAAACTATCTAAATCTAAACTTTCTAGGGAAAAAAGGAAAAGAAAAGGAAAGAAAATCTTTGTTAGAATTTTGTTAGATATTGCTTCTTGTTCAAGTCCTTATGGAGTTTTATTTTTATAATTGGTTTCTGCATTAAGTTTCCAAGTATATTGATCTTGTATTGTATGAAATTATATGGAGTTGTATCTTGTTATCAGGAACTCAAAAATTAGTTGCTCAAGTTTTCATTTTATATTGAGTGATAGATTTCTCTCATGGTGTTGCCTGTTATTAGAAAATTATTGAGGAAATTCTCTTTAGTTTCTTCTTTTGATCCCTTCTCTTGTTGCTGATACCATGTTTTGTGGGTGTATTTTATTGCAGGCTTGCAAAAAGCTCAATCAAATTGAGCTCGCAGACTGTGAAATCTATGCATCTTGTGAGCCATGTCCAATGTGCTTTGGTGCTATCCACCTCTCAAGAATTAAGGTCTTATTTAAAACCTTCATTCGTAGTCTTGTGTCCATTACCTTTTAGCAGTTCTAACAACAATATTTCTGACACTTTCATTGTCTCAACCCCTTTCGAAACAGAGGCTGGTTTATGGAGCCAAAGCCGAAGCTGCTATTGCGATCGGATTTGACGATTTCATTGCAGATGCATTGAGAGGCACTGGACATTATCAGAAGGCTAACATGGAGATCAAGAAAGCTGATGGAACTGGTGCTGTTATTGCTGAACAAGTGTTCGAGAAGACTAAAGCAAAGTTCACCATGTACTGATTTTTCTCATTCCCCCACTTACAAAATTGAGACTGCTTCGTCAAAGACTTCTCATTTTATTTCTAAGAAGGAAAAAAAAGAAAAAGAAAAAAGAACACTACCATAAAAAGAAAATGGGGGATAAATAATTGATTGACTATCATTCTCCAGCTTGTCTTTGAAATGAAAGTGTAAATTTCCATTTATCGTGCATGTGCAGATTTGCTTGATCGTTTGAGATCACTTACATTCAAAATATAGTGCAATTTAGCTTCTTAAAAGGTGGAGCGTGCATATATGACTACTATGTTGTTAGAGTTGAATTTGGGGCGTTTTAACTATATAAAAACCCTTCAGCAAAGGGGAAAAAAATTAGTACATGAAAACCTTTATCTAGTTTCAAACGTTTTTAATCTCTTATGTCAGCAAGCTTTCCAAGTCCTCTTAATTCTTTTTTTTCCCCCCTACATAATAGTAAGGTGCATGTAACATCCAAACCAAAGGGCTGTTGACTTTTAAAAAAAAAAAAAAAAGAAATTCAGATGATTTTGGACGTTAGTTTTCTTGGAAAATCACATCATTATGGGATGGCCATCACGTCATACTTCTTATTTTCCCGTGCCTTTTCCATTGCTGTCTTTGTTTCATGGTAACTCAAGTAACGTGTAAATACACAATCTCAGTCGTTTTCTGACGTCAACAGAAACATTTTCTAGAAGTAAGAATTTAAGACATCTCGAGTAGATATATAATTTTATGTGAGAATTTTTTATTGTAATAAAAAAATTAGATATGATTATTTATAAAAAAAATTTATTATAATAAAACTCAAATATTAAACTTGAATCAGTAAAATAAACGGGATCTAAATTATTAAAGCGTTAAAAGGCTACAATTGATCCAATAAATAAATAAATAAATAAAAATACTGTATTTGGTGAAATTAAGGCCTCGTTCATTTTACCGATTCGAGTTTTCAATTTTAGATTTTTACAGTAAAAAGTTCTCAGAAAATATCACATTTAATTTTTTCTACTACAGTAAAAAATTTTCAAAAAATATCACATCTCAGCGTAACAAGCATACAGAATCGTTTTTTCAATCAATCAAAAGCGCAAAGGCATTGAACAAGAAATGACTCTTCGGATGCCTGGTGGTAAATATCCACATAGGCCTTTACGCCTTTTCGAACTTGAAATGATCCCTTCAAGATGTTTGGAAATCAGTTTGTTAATTTGGAAACATAAATCCAATACTGAAACTTGACGAGACTAATGTTCAGACACGATAGTTGTAATCTATCATGTCAATGACAAACAATTCTTGACGAAGTAGAACGTGAACGTGCACATGAAACAGAACAAAACATTTGTTGTATAAGCAAATGCTTTAGCACCGGCGGTATTAAGTACCATTTATTAATAAAAAGTGGGACTGAACTTACAAGATTCACATTCTAATAAAGTGATGCTTAATATCGGTAGTGTTCTTTAACATTTTTCTTAATTGTATTGCTCAAGTGATTCATTATTGCAATGATATGAATTAGATAGTAGATTGGCAGAGCGAGAGAAAAGACGACATAAAACAGCAACAACTATATCAGTGCACATCCTCACTTCCAACTACTACTAAATCAAAGCAAAAGTATGTTAGGTGATACAAATCAATATCGAGTAAATATTGGGAACTACTACCAAGTACTACCATTACTAATTAGAAAGTACAAATTGCGACAGATATAGCCGACGCCACACCCAAATAGCTCACATTTAATATCAGCAAAAATCTCCATTTGGCAAATAGGATCAAAATGTTTAATTATCGAGTTATTACACAGTACAAGGCTTTTAGTGCACAAGTCCAGAGCTTGGAGAACTAACAATCATGAAAGAAAAAATTCCATGGCCTAGAAAGTTTGAGGGATAAGAATCTAGGGGATTCCTGTGTTAAAAATGTAACTCTGAATTCCGAGTGTATAAAGTTTCTGACATGACAAATTTCTTCACCCTCAGTTTCAAGCTAGGATTTAGGTTCCCACATGTCAATACCAACATAAGTGCCAGACACAAAACTAATGAACAAATTGGCTGCAACAAATCTGTCTGTAAAACACTTGTTAACCTCCAAAATCATGATTAAGCAATAAAAAAAAAATCCTCATAAAGCAATCATTCCCTGACTTCTGAATATTGTACAGTACACAATCTAATGAGAAGAAAAATTATTTCAGTTGATTTTACTATGAACAAACTATCAAATGATTATTCAGATAAAAAAAAAAATATCAAATGACTAAAAAGTAGTCAGGGAAAATCATTATTCAACCCAGCTGTTCTATCAATTCAAACAAAGGATGATAAATAATTTCAGATGCAAACTCTAGCTATACTATCAACCATTTGATCAGTGATCAGAACAAATATATACGAACCAAGAAGGCTAAATTAAATAAAATAAAATAAAAACTCAAGTCTCTTCACCCCTTCTTCCTTCAAAGTCTCTATCTTTTGTACCCAAACCTTCAAATCATGACCCTCCTCTGGACCTCAATTCGTCCAACGCCGCCTTTATCTGATCCTGCACCAACTCCAATCGCTTCGAGTACACCTCCAACTCAAGAATCTGCTGCTTCCTCCACCTCTCGTCGCCCACCTCCCCAATTCCCAAATTCATGGCCGGAACGCTGAAGTTCAACGGTATCGGATTCAGCGCCAAACCTCCGAAACCCCGGGTCGCCGCCGCGCAAGGTCCTCCCATGGCGTTACCCAACAATTCCTTGAGCAACGGCGACAAACAGCTCCTCACCGTCTCTTCTATCACCCCCTGAACATTATTACCGTTGCTGTGATTATTTCCAGTTCCACCGCTGTTATTATTGCAATTGTCCTTCATCGCCGCCGGACCGTCGCTGAAACAGCGTCTGTCGTCGGTTCTCGGATCGGATTTCAACCGTGATCGCTTCCGCGACCTCGGCGGCGTCTTCTTCTCGCCGGAGAAAGCCCCGGCGTCCTCGCCTTTGACCTCGACGGCGAAATTGGCGGTACTGTTAGGGTTGGCATCGTCGTCCTCGAGGGCGTTGTCATCGGCGACGGAGGCGATTGCGCCGATGTTGCTCCAGATCTTGCGGGAGATCTCGAAGGTGGCCTGGTCGTGAGGGCTTTTGAAAGAAAATTCCTTTCCGGAGGAGATTTTGTTGAGGACGTTCCGGTACTTCTTCTTCAACCTCCGGAGCTTCTCGACGAGCTGGTTCTTGTTAAAGTCGAGCTGGAGCTTGGACTTGATCTGGTCGTAGAACAGAGCGGTGTCATTTTGGCCGTGGTGCGTGGTCTTCCCGCGCTGCGCCGTGTAGTCGAGGAACCCCTGGAGGAGCTCGATCTCGTCCTCGTCCGTCCACAGCCTCTGGAATAGCTTCCGCGAGTCGTCCAAGGTCGCCGGCGGCTTCTTCTCCTCCGGCTGAGCCGCCAAAACGACGTCGTTTCTGTGGCGATCAGAGGAGGGATCGGCGATCACGGAGATGGCGAGAATTGCGGGAGGCTCGGCCTTGGGCGGCGCCGGAAGGGCGACCGTTACGGTGTTGGGTGCGGCGGATGACGTGGAAGGAAGGGCGACATCGTCGTTGTCGTTTTCCAACTCTTCGTCGTCGTCTTCATCGTCGTCGACGACGTCGTCCTCGTCCTCGTCCTGTGAGGAAGAAGAGGAGAGGTCCTCTCCGGGCAAAACGACGTCGTCTCGGTGGGAGGCCATGAGAAAGAGAGAATTGGGTATTATTTGGGGGGTTTAAGGAAGCCAAAGAGAAAACGGTTTCACAGTAATGGGGAAATAAAATTGGGGTGTGGGCTGTTTCTGGTCAGATGGGGGTTAGGGGTGGGGCTGAGAGAGAGAGAGAGAGAGAGAGAGAGAGGTGGGTTTGTTTAGTTAGGTAGCTGGGGGCGAGAGGGAAAGGGTTCACGAGGTTTGGTTGCTTTAGGCTTTTAGCGTGTTGGACTGGCTCAAGCGGTGCTATTGGTGGACTCTTCGCAAAGCCATCTCTCCTACGCGCTTTCACCATTCGTCTAACACACGACGGGCTCTCTTCTCTTGTACAATGTGAAGCTTTATTATTATTATTATTCAGTTTAAACCTTAAAAACTTTTTGGTTTTTGACAACTTACCTTCAATGTTTTAATTTTCATATTTTATCCCCAAACTCAGAAACTTATTACAATGTGATTCATTTATTTTTTGATAATATTCATGTTTTCCCCCTAAACTATGTCAATTTACCTCCTGACTTTTGAAATGAACCAACCCATCCCCTCAAACTTTGCTATGTGAGCAAAAAAACCTCCTTTCATCCAATTTCCGTTAGTCTTAACCATTTTTTGTTGACTTGGCCATCTAACTTAAAGAAGATTAATCTCATAAATGTCCCCCGAGTTATGTAATATATTTCAACATACCCTCTCATATTTTAAAATGGTTCAAAACACCTACTAATATATACAAAAAATAGTTCAAAACGCTCATTCCATCTAAATTCATCTATCAATCTAATAGAAGTGCCTCCGTGACAATCAATTAAAAATCATCTGAACATTAAATTCTAATTTTAACAAAAAAAAGCATTAAATTATAATTAAGGGGAGTCACATTTAGGGCTATTCGTTGGTTAAAAACTGTCAGTTTTAGTCGGTTTGGTGGCCGAACCGACTATGTCAATTTTTTGAAATCGTGCACCAAAATCGAACCACATAATGGAGTAGTCGGTCGGTTAACCGAACTTCAGTTTTCAGTCGGTTTTCAATTTTGCTAATTAGAAAGGTAGCCATCAGTAAACCATCAAGTTACTAACATCTTTAGTTGCATTTTTTACCAAAAAAATCCAGAAACAAATTTGTATGTAAACTTTTTCTACTATACAAATCTGTAATCACAGTAAATGAAAAAAAGAAAAGAAAAAAAATCGAAAAGACTTCATTAACTACTTTAAGACTGTTTCTTTGGTAAGAAAGAAAGATCCTAGAAAGGATATAAAGGTATATATATAACCTAGGTGGAAAAAAAAGAGGACTTTTCTCTTATTGTAATTGTCGTGGATCGCCTCTTGCAACCCTTCCAACTTTGGAATGATTAAAACTGGAGTTATGCAAGGATTTTGAATCTCCCGCCAATCAATTCCCCAATTTAATCTCTCCCACCACATTGCCATAAATTTTAAAATCCTTCTACTAATTATTTCATCCATAATGGTATAACCCTCCTCCTACCAAATAAGGCTCAAGTGTTGTAGATAGCCAGATATCATGTTATCTAGAATATGAAGGCACGTCCTAAATTAGCCAATCATTTAGACTGCACGTATTTTTCCCACAATAAACAATAAGCATGCTTTTACTAGGATGCTTTTCAAAAAATGACAATAGCAGGGAAAAAACGACAGACTCACTGGGCTAGACCTTAAAAAAAATGACTTCAGGAAAAAGAAATTTCGGTCGGTTTGGTTTTAAATTGAACTTCACTGGCATAACCGAAATCGAACCGCCGTTGAGGCAGTTCAGTCGGTTAACTGAACCGATTGTCTTCGGTCTCACGTTGCATTGTTTTTTTCAATTTTTAAGCTATCGGTGGTGGTCGGTTTCGGTTTCATGATTTTTTTATACAGTCCTATTCACATCTAACTTTTTTGTTACAGTAAAAAGCTCTCATATAAAATCACAACTCAACTCGAATTAAAAATTCAAATCAGCGAACTACGAATTAAAAATTTAAATCAGCGAATTAAACAGACACTAGAGATACAATAAAGAATAAATATTTAAAAGGTTTTAAAGAAATAATAACAACAAGGTCCTTCTTATCTCTTTCTCGTAAATATGTAACATTTTAGGTGCGTTTAGTAGATGAATCCAGAATCGTGATTTTAAATCCTGATTCAGAATCAGTATTTATTTTGGATGATTTTGAATCATAATTCTAAATCAGTGTTTAGTTTAGATGATTCAGAATCTGATGTGATATTTTAAACTAGCTCAAATCATGATTTTAAAACCACATCTCTCTTGATTCAAAGTTATTCAAACTCATGATTTTGAATCATGATTTCATAATTATGATTTGAATCTAAAATCATGAATATGATTCTGATTCTAAAATCATGATTTAAATTTTCATACCAAACGAACCATTCATCTCTAACAAAGTTGTTGCATCTAGCTTTTTGATCGAACCTATCCACAATTACGATGGATGATCCAGCCCCCACACCTGAATGGCAACATGATCTCGTCGACGGAAAGAAAACCCAGCCTTCCTCTCTACCGACGGTGGTGAAAACCCAACAGCCTCCGACGGTCACGCGTACTCAGCCCTCACAAGGGCAAGAACCAACCTTCCTTCGACGGCGACGTGATTTCCTTCTCTCTCATCGGGGATATCTACATGCTCGGATTGGGTGAGAGTTGAATCGGAAACCGTTGACGGTATTTTTCCGACAACGCGTGATTTACTCTCCAAAGACACTCTCAGTAACACTCACGGTTTAACTAAGGATTAAAGTTGAAAAATAATGCAAATGAGACAGATATTTATAATGGTTCGGCAAGAACTCTTTGCCTAATCCACTTGTGGATGCACTAATATCTTCTGGGATTACAAACTCTCTTGGAGTAATGAAATAGTGTGTACCCCTTCAATGGGGTTTCTTTGGCTCTATTTATATGCCTTTACATGTGAGAGATCTCCTTTGCATTGCCCGAGGAGATCATTTTTCATCCCTGAATTTCAGGATTGTGCTGGTGTATTTTCATGATGACAATTTCAGGAAATCAGTCTGACCTCTCTTACCGGCTACCTGATTTCCTGACTTCGACAGTAGCAGTTGGCACAGTATACCCTTTTCCTGAGTTGACAGGATTGTGGCTGGATTTGACTGGACTGCTTCCGGTCTGATCTAATTCCTAACTCCTCGACACAAAGGCTTCAAAGGGCTTTTAGTAGACTTCTCGACTTCAACGATGCAAAGGCCTTAAGAGGACCTTAAGCACTTCTCGACTCCAACACCTTGACTCCTCGACGCATAGGCTTTAAAGGGCTTTTAGTAGACTTCTCGACTTCAACGACGCAAAGGCCTTAAGAGGACCTTAAGCACTTCTCGACTCCAACACCCTGACTCTAAGAGTGCTCCTCAACCTAGATACATCTCCCTAGCTGTTAGTTCTCAACGTCAGGGATTTCTCCTGACTTTCGGAGCTCTCGACGCGTATGACAAAAGTGGGTGACTTGAATGGTTGACCATGGTGTAACAATTGCCCCCCGGCTTGGAATATTACGTCGTGATGTTTCAAGCTATGGCAAGTCGAGAAATCATTCATTGGTAAGCTTGGCAGTTACTTTTCCAAAACAACACCATCATTATTGCTGATTTCTCAGGTTGTGGAGCAGTAATGTCGATCATGTTTGCAGGTGGCAGTCGAAAGTTGAATTTCAACTGTTGGATCAAGTTTCATTTCCTCTTTGTTTTCCTGCATTAGCCCCGTAGAGACTGCATTTCTTTTATACTTTCGCGCTAGCTCGTGATGATACCAACATAAGAATGGTTAGAAATAGAAGAATATTAACTAAGAAACTTACCTTTTGTTGTTTGCATATTGTTCTGAATGCTCGACGCCAACATTTCTCCTCTCCTCGACCGCCAACATAAGAGTCTCTCACCAGATACATGTAAGCCTCGACCTTCTTGGATTTCCATCTGCAAGCTGACCTTCCTGGTTTTCCCTTAGTACTCTCTACTCTAAGTAGGTCCTCCTATTCACTTTTACAGGCTCTTATCCTCTCCCTCATCCTCGTTGACATAGTCAAGGTCGAGGGTCGGAGCAATGAGATGGACCAAATTGGGACAATCCTGATGGATGTCCTCAACGTGGAAAAACTCACCTTAAAGACCAACGCAAGGGAGAGGAATAAGACATTGCGGGAAGTATGAGACATTCTTGAGGAATTAGAGAAGGTCAAAGCGCAAGTGGAGGCTAACAGAAGTGAAAGAGGCTGAGGTCAAGTATCTGGACGAGGGAAGATTAAAGAAGGGTGAGAGAGGCGCTGGAGCTCTAGAGTGTCGAACATTAGAGAGCGTCCTGATTGCCAAATGGTCAAATATTTTTTTTCTTCTTTTTTTTAGCCTCTCCTCCTTAGAGGCTCTATTAGCTATGCTTGTTAACCTTTCGTCCTTAGAGGACTCGGCGTTGTAAGTTCTTTGAACTTATTTTTGCTGTTGAATGTGGTCCGTAGATCCCTTCTTGCCCCCCATGCCAAATTAAAACCTTAGTTTTTAGGTAAACATGTTATGTTTGGGGTCGACCTCTTTGAGGATTTGAAGATAAACGTAGATAAGCTGATGTGGCATGAACAAACTTTTGAATCTTATTAGTTCCGAATTCTTGGAGTCGTTTATCGCGGATGAGTCCCTCAATTTCATTTCTCAAGTCCTTGCAGTCGTTGGTATTGAGTCGTATCGTTGGAATGGTTGAGGCCTTCCGTCATTTTCTTGCCTTGGCTTCTTTGCTTCCGGCTGATTAAGAGTCGAAGCTTCAGGTTTATCCTCATTACCATTATCGCGACGCTTTTGGCCTTCTTGCTTCTCAGAGGTAGACCACTCCTCTATTTCTTGGCTCTTGTTCGATCGGCACTCAGGGTCATTGGCCTCAGCTTCTTCTTCATTGATAAATCCTTGAGCCCTCACCAAGAACTCCTTATATGTCTGTGGTGGCCTCCGGTTGAGGTCTGTACTATATGGGATATCCCTCCTCATGCTGGCCAAGGCTCCCATTAGTGCTACCTCGTCTGTGATTCCCTCTGTGGCAGCCACTTGCTCTCCGAATCTCGCGATCCAATCCTTGAGAGACTCGTCTGGCCCCTGGTAGACCCTTGAAAGGTTCTGCTTCAGCGTGATATACTTCTTTACTCCTATGAACTGAGTTAAGAAGACATTCTTCAAATCGTCCCAACTCGTTACAGAGTTAGGCTTTAAGGATCTGAACCATTTCCTAGCAGAATCAGAGAGATGATTCCTGAATGCTCGGAACATGATCTCCTCAGGATATCCGTGGAGAACCATATGTCTGGTGTAGACCTCCAAATGATCATCTGGATCCCTCTTTCCGTCGTATAGTGGGATCAGAGGCGGCTTCTACTTATCGGGTAGAGTGACCCGAATGATGTTCTTCGTGAATGGGTGGTTGTGGGACGTATATATTTTGGCATCGACGTTTACCGCCTCGGCCACTTTTCCCACGACTTGCTCAAAGTTGTTCAATCGACTCGCTATTTGCTTTTCTAGCCTGGCAAGCTTCTCGGCTAGAGCTTTGTTCTCGGCCGCAAGGCCTTCTTCCTTGGTCGGCTGTACGCCTTGGTCATGTCGAGCATTCAGCTTCTCCCTAAGGTCTCTTCCACTCACGGAAGAGGGCTCCACTGGGACATCGTCTCTCCTATTCGCGTCCCGCTGCGGTCGATGAGGCACTTCTCTGTTATTCACAGTCTGTGCTGCAGCCTTTTCTAGGGCCCTCCTCCTGCCCACCCGTTGCCTACTCCCCACATACCTATTTGACTTGGCTGGACGGGGGTTGTTGGCTCCACTGTCACCGACCTCCTCGGCGTCATCGCGTCGGCCACCAATCACTTGGTTTCCAACAGCAGCATTCACCGGGTTCATCGGTGCGTCCTCCAACAGCAGCATCGAATTCTGCCCCTGTTCCCGTCCAGCGAGGGCTGTAGCCATCCTTTCAACGGCTGCAGCAAGTGTCTCGACCTGCCTTTGGAGCTGGTCAATCCGGTCTGGGGGGTTTTCAGCAGCCGGCAAGGGTGGGATTGTCGGAGCCCTTCCTCTGATGGTGGGAGTCTAGCCTTCTTGGCTTTTCTGAGTTGCCGTCATGCTGTGGGTTTTTCTCGGAGCCATACTCACTGCTTACTGCTGGATTGATTTCTCAGAGGTCCCTCACCCTTTTTCTAGCGCCAATTGTTGACGGTGTTTTTTCCGACAACGCGTGATTTACTCTCCAAAGACACTCTCAGTAACATTCACGGTTTAACTAAGGATTAAAGTTGAAAAATAATGCAAATGAGACAGAGATTTATAGTGGTTCGGCAAGAACTCTTTGCCTAATCCACTTGTGGATGCACTAATATCTTCTGGGATTACAAACTCTCTTGGAGTAATGAAATAGTGTGTACCCCTTAAATGGGGTTTTTTGGCTCTATTTATAGGCCTTTACATGTGAGAGATCTCCTCTGCATTGCCTGGGGAGATCATTTTCCATCCCTGAATTTCGGGATTATGCTGGTGTATTTTCATGGTGACAATTTCGGGAAATCAGGTTGACCTTTCTTACCGGCTACTTGATTTCCTGACTTTGACAGTAGCAGTTGGCACAGTATACCCTTTCCTGAGTTGATAAGACTGTGGCTGGATTTGACTGGACTGCTTCCGGTTTGATCTAATTCCTGACTCCTTGACACAAAGGCTTCAAAGGGCTTTTAGTAGACTTCTCGACTTCAACGACGCAAAGGCCTTAAGAGGACCTTAAGCACTTCTCGACTCCAACACCCTGACTCTAAGAGCGCTCCTCAACCTAGAGACATCTCCCTAGCTGTTAGTTCTCGACGTCAGGGATTTGTCCTGACTTTCGGAGCTCTCGACGCGTACGACAAAAGTGGGTGGCTTGAATGGTCGACCATGGTGTAACAGAAACCATGGACTTATGAGGGGCGAAAGATGATGGCGGAGACGGGGGTCGCGGCGGAGGCAATTGATGGGAGACCGCCATCGTCGTAGTTGGTTCGAGGAGTTTCGGTTGGGAATCCCTCTGCCACACCTTCGTCTTGGTCAGACTGAGCAGAGGGATCCGATGGGGCTTTGGTGTTTGAAGATTGGGATCCTAAATTGAGGATTTTGGAGGGCTGGGACTCTGAATGTGCTGGAGATTGGAGGTGATATCTGATATGTGTTTGATGGAGAAATTCAAAAGATGGTGGAGAAAATCTGTAATTGAAGAATTTTTTTTTTGTTTCCAAAATAAATTCAGATAGATGATGAATTTTATTATTTTATTATTTTTCTAATTGTATTTTTATTTTTTAATATTAATTTTTTTAATAGCTTTAATTAGAATTTATTCTTCATTAACGTTTAATGAGTGACGTATCGACTTTGTTCGCTTGTGGATTCGGGTTTTCAATTTGAGTTGAGGTGTAATATTTTTTTAGAGTTTTTAATCGTAATAAAAAAGTTAAATATAACATTTTTTGAGATATTTTAACTGTAGAAACTTAGAACTGAAAACTCGAATAGGTTAAGGCCTCATACATATCACCAGTTCGAGTTTTCAATTTTAGGTTTTTACAGTTAAAAGTTCTCAAAAAATATCACATATATTTTTTTCTGCTACAATTAAAATCTCTTAGAAAATGTCACATCTCAGATCGAATTGAAAATTTGAATTCGTAAAGTGAACGAGGTCAAAATGAATGAGGCATAAATGAGTGAATTGGATGGAGGGGACATTTTAAACTGTTTTATATATTAGAGGTGTTTTGAACCATTTTGAAACAAGGTACAAAGTTTGAAAGACATTAATAAAATTAATCTAACTTAAAGATGGTTAAAAAAAACAAATTAGTAATGAATACCCTTGCCTCAAAAACTCATTTTATCGCAAAATCTATCAGTCTCTTTACCAGTTTTGATTTATTAATTCAAAATCACTTTTTTTAATTATTTTTTCCTTTTTTTTTTTTGGCTGAACGTTGAAGTAAAAACCATTTGAGGACAATAACGTGCATGATTGAGGTTTTTTTTTTTTTTTTTTTTTTTTTTTTTTTTTTTTTTTTTTTACCGTGAAGAAACAAACATTAATCAAACAACCATTGAACATCAATCGGGTCTTTTGAAGTAGCAACAAAATAGCAACACATAGAATTAACGTATCATTAACAGGTCTAGTTAAGGAGGCAAACATGAAAATTATCCTTTATTTTTATTAGTGACCATTAAATTAGTGATCATGGAAAAGCCAATATGAGGATATAAAAGTGCACCTCCAATCTTAATTCAAATCCTAACACAAATCTCCAAGTCAACTCCCAAATCCAACCCAAGAAAGGTAATTAATTGTAATACTTTGACAAGTTGAGGAATAAAATGCCAAAATTAAAAGTTTAACAGATAAGTTATCGAAACTCAAAAAATTGGGGAAAAAAGTGTTAAAAATCCCTAATATTAAGTTCTTTTCATTTCCCAAGTTCTCATAAAAATGTTGCGGGGTTTCTTGATTCTTCATAAAAAAAAACTTATTTTATACATTAATAAAAAAAAATGGTGTTATTACATATAACTACGCAGCAATAATTATGAAAAGGCATAATATTCATTTACGAAGTACGGTATGTTTTTAAATCATTGTTACATATAATAAGTAAAATTTTGTGATGTAGTATTTTTTTTAAAAAAAAAAAAACCTTTTCGGTAAAACATAGTTTTAACTCAAAACAAATCATAATCATATTAAATATGATTATTTAACAAACTTTTATAAAAATCTGATTTTAAAAATTGTATACTAACATTAGGCTATTTCTTTTCTCTATTATGTTATATTACATCCCTATACTTACTCTATATGTTACATATGTAGGACCGATTCCTTTGTGAATTGGAGTGTAGCCTTTGATTTAAATTGCTAATGGCGTCTTACTATTTGCAAATTTATGCCGAGCGACATATTGTTATTGTGGAAGGGAAAGTTAAAAGAAGTATTATGAATTATTTAACACTATTGACTTTAGTTCTATTGCCGCGGGTGAGTTAAATCAGTACTATAAGTGAATCAAATTTTAGTATATATTCTTAATATAACGAAAAGAATATGAAACAACTTGCTTTTTCATAATACAAATTGATTTATTCAAAAGAAATTAACAAATATTTACTTGGTAGATACCAATCTCTAGGAGAATTCTTCAAACTCAACTACATATCTACATCCGTGTCATCCATTATCTGTTATTGCAATATCATTGTCGTTTTAGCTATTCTTTAATTTCCAACTTTTTTTTTTTTTGGAAAGTTTTAATTTCCAACTCTTGACCTATTCTAAACTTGACAATATTCGAATGTTAATTACAATATGGCTTTTTAAACCTTAAATCATTGGCTAATTTGAGGCCTCCAAAACAATATTAGGAAAAAAACAAAAAATACCGTAGAGTTTCTTTTTTGTGTTACAATGGTCTACCTTATCTGCAACAAAATGATAACAATAACTAAAATTGAGTTTGAGGACAGCATTCATTATCGGACAGATTAAAAAAGAAAAAAAAAATGTTTTCTTTGGCGTCCGTACCTCTATAACCATCAAATTCTTACCCTTACTAATCAACCATTACTCCTCAACTACCTCCATATATTTTACCTCATATTACATGAACTCCGTGCATATTCCCTAACGCAACATTAAGGAGGAGACGGAGAACGAGATGGAGATGGCATGGCCACTAGTCAGCTGGATCATGTCAGCCTCTTCTTCTTCTTCTTCCTCCTCTTCTGAATATGATGATAACAACGACGACAGCGACTACAACGACGACGACAACGAAGCAGAATCACCGAACGACGACGTCTCGTGCGATGACTCCGTCTCCCCATCCACCCAATCTCCATGCCAACCTCCCTCCAGTACGGTTGCCGCTGCCGTCGCCGCCGATCCCTCTTCTTCTACCTCAAAACGACGTCGCACCGACGACAGTGGGGAGGCCGTGAAAAGGGTCTCTAAAAAAAGGGTTTGGACCAAAGAAGACGAACTCGAGCTCTTGCATGGCTTTTTGGACCACATGACAAAAAGACGGAGAATTACAAGCAGTAGAAAACAGAAAGATTATGTTTCTTCTTTCTGTAACGAGGTTAAGCCCGAGTTACAGATTCGATTCAACAAGAGCCAGATCGTTGACAAGCTCAGGAGATTAAAGAGAAAGTACAACCAAAACATCGCTAATAAAAGGAGTTTGAGCTTGGACATGCAGGATCAGTTCTGGTTTAAGAACCCACACGACAAGGCCGCTTTCGAGATTTCCCATGAGATATGGAATACGACGGACCGTTTAGGCACTGGTGATCAAGATCAAACGGTCGTAGATGACAACGTACCGATCAGGACGAGGTCGCAGACCCTGAGAAATAGTACTACCAAAGGGGTTTTGGATGATGGGTCGTGGTTAAACAAGATTAATAATAGTAATAATAGCTGTGGTGATGAAGGTAGTGATACCGTGGGGTTGATAATGGGTTTGGGTCTTAGTCCGATTGGGTTGATGAAGTTTGGTGATGGGGGGGAAGTGGTGAATTTTCATGATGAGAAGTGGGGAGAGCAGCAGATTATGGAGTTGGAAGTCTATTTGAAGCGCCTGGAGTTGGTGCAGGCTCAGGTTAAGGCTGCTTTGGACAAGTTGAGGTCAGCAGGATCAGGTGATTTATAAGGTTATAGGCACAGATAGTTTAAGCATCACACATTAATATTAAAAAAAAAAAGGGGTCCCGCATCGCAAATGAGACCCATTTTATATTATGCCAACCATTTTTCATGTACCAAGCAAATTCAGACTTAATTTTGTACCTTTTTGGACAGGGGATTTAATTTGTTAATGAGAGGTTGGGAGGTTATGGGGATGTTATTTTGTGTTTAGTTTGTAAAAGTTTGGTTGGTCAACGATCAAAGGTTGGATAAGAGTATTAGAAAAAAGTTTGCTGTTATATCAAATTCTATTATTTAACTTGTGTAGGAAAAGATGTAACATTGTTTGCTAAAGCATTCTACACCGATGATGTGGCAGCCATGGAGACAAAACGGTTGTTCTTCTTTGTTGTTTTCCAATTGGAGGGTGGCTTGTAATTGCCATTTCGCATGACCTACCGTAAGCAAATCAAGTTCATTTTCTAAGTTTGCCTTTTTGGCTGAAGATTCACATAAGTTGTGGAATTCAATATAAAAAGGGAATTCTTTACAGAAAATAAGCTTCTAGTCTTTGAAATGATACAAATAGTATTCTGAATCGTCATAACTTATCTAAATCTACCATCATCTTACAGGAGATAACATTTATTGACTAATAAATCCTTCAGCCAAAAAAAAAAAAATACTAATCAGTAACAACACTTGCCATTTTTATTTATGCATATTTAGGTTTCATTTCTTGAAAATTTGGTTCTCATAGCCAACGGATACTCCTAATTAGTTACCAGGCGACTTTTATTTATTTATTCATGAATCTTATAATAAATTATGCAAAGCAAAAATATCTCATTAGTGAGCTACAATCATAAGTGATTAAAAAGCTCGCTTAAAATAATTTTTTTTTAAAATTACTTTAGTCTCTTGAGAAAATTAAAGAACTTACTCTTAAAAGCGTATGTGTATAGATTTTTACTCCTTATTTTTAATTAATATTATCTTGACTAATATAGTATTTAATTAATATTTTTTTGACTAATAAAATATTTAATTAAAAAAGTATTAATTAAGTGTAAACGGTAAAAATTAAAACTCATACAATTTAAGAGGGTATTGTCTCCTTTTCCTATTGTATGATGATTTGGAATTGTGCCCACCTTAATGCCCAATTTATTGATTTTGTAAAGAAAACTTTTGCAAAATACTCCAAAAAATATTGCTTTCGAATTTATGCCTAGATATTAGAATTTTAGTTTTGTTCCTTACGACTGAACTAGTTAAAGATCAATAAAATGTGACGTAAATTCAAATCACAAAAAAATTATGGGCATAAATTAGAAAACAAATAAGAATTTTGCATTTCACCTAATTTTCTCCTTTGTAAATGGTAAAGTGGTAACAATTTTGTCTACATGGGGTTCAAGTCCTAGAAAATACAACCCAAAACCCAGCCCATCAATAGAATCCACTCGATCCAACGAACTTTCCCCACCTTATCCAACTCTCTTTCAAACACAAGCATATGCTCTTCCATGCATCCCCTTCCTCTCTCCTCCACTCAGATGCAAACAACCAACTCATCATAAACAAAATACCAGAAATCCCGGCAAACCATTTCTTTTTTTCACTCTCTGTATAGCCTAGAACTGAAAAGAGAAAGAGGAGAACAAAAAAACAAAAAAAAAATCCCACAACCAAACCACCATTTTGATAATCATGGCTTGTGCAACGACAAGACCCACTTTTTCTTTCCACATCTCGACCTCTTTTTCCCAAACTTGTTCACTTCCAAAATCCAAACCAACCCATTTCAGCAACCCAACTCTTCTTCCCAAAATCCCATCTTTTTCACTCTCACTTCCTCAGAAGGCCCTAAACAAGCCTCCCAAATTCATCACAAACTCCATTGACGTCTCCAAAGAAGACAAACCCACTTCGGACCAGACCAGTTCAACTCCACCCCAGGTCGAGGAGCAGCCAGAGAAAGAGCAAGAGCAAGAGCAAGACACGTTTGATAAGCGAAGGCTTGAAGAGAAATTTGCCGTCTTGAACACTGGAATATACGAATGCAGGTCTTGTGGTTACAAATATGATGAGGCCGTGGGGGACCCATCTTATCCCATACCCCCAGGATTGCCATTTGAAAAGTTGCCTGAGGATTGGAGATGCCCAACATGTGGGGCCTCACAGAGCTTCTTTGAGAGTAAGAGTGTGGAGATTGCTGGGTTTGCGCAGAATCAGCAGTTTGGGCTTGGTGGGAATGCACTCACTTCTGGGCAGAAGGCTATACTTATATATGGGACTTTGTTTTTGTTCTTTGTGCTTTTCTTGTCTGGCTACTTCCTTCAATAGTGGTTGAGGTATGAGATTTTTACTGGAAGGTTGTTTGCTACATGTGGAATATATAAAAAAGAATTCTGGTTGGATGAGTAATAAATAGTAGGATATAGTAAATTTATGTTGAAACATTTTGATTCGGTTAAGTAGGGAAGAACTTTGGATTTGCTTCTGTGAAATACGGATACAGATAATGTTTTTTTTCCTGAACCACTAGTTGTAAGAATACTACATAAGGAATTTTCGAACAATGCTCACCTATTGATATAGTGGAAAAATCTAGAAATTTCTATCCAATATGAAAAAAAAAAAAAAAAAACACACACACACAAGGTTTTGTCGCCGGTGGCAGTGGATTTTGAATAAAAGATCATGGTCTCAGCTTGATCTGACATTCTGATTCCTGGTAGTGTTTATTTCTTTTGTATGTCTCATATTGTGAGGCAGCTCTGGACTCCTACAGCTGCTTGCTTATAACTTCTAATAGCTCGTTCGGTTCGTAAGTTTAAACAGAAAAAATTGAAGAAATTTTTAAATTTTATGAGAAAAAATACTCTGGCAAAAAGATTTTAACAGTAGTTTATAAAACAAACAGGGTGTCAGTATGCTAATTAGGGCGAAGAATGTGCACAAAAGCTTGCAGAGCTAACTGTGAAGTGTCCATTCATTACTACTGCTCTAGTTATTATAGCAATAAGTATTGTCAAGAAATATGCAAAGTGAAGAGGACATCTTGCCAAGTCTAGACTGCATTCTAAATAATTGAAATCCCTTTAGCATAACTTGCATGACTTAAAGTCACTATATTTAGATGTCAAATATTATTAGGTTGATTTATGGACCTGCTCGGTCGTCACGGTCATGCTAGGTATTCTCAAGGAATTCAGCCTAAAGTAGGGCCAGTATCACTTAGGAAGTCTAGTTATTCATTTTGTATCATGAACATGTGTAGATTATACTAAATTTTGATATAGAATCTACATGTTCGAGCCGACTCTCCAAATGTAGTATTCCTTTAATTTACGTGGATTTTTAGTTACTGGAAGAAAACGATCCCAAATTGCTTGGCTTTATGTCTTTTAGTCCCAAAAAGAATGGCTGATTTGAATTTGAGGGGATTGGCCTACTAAAAGAAGAGATTGCAGTGAAAGCAAAATCACAAGACTTGTGCTGTGACCTTTGCCCCTCCCAAGTTCCGCGCCAGTCCGCGAGGAAGCATGCGGATGATTGTGCGTGATTTAAAGGAAGAAAAGACTTTAAGATGTAAACTTCAACTACTATTTGGCGGACGATGGCGTAACAATTTGCTTGTTCTACGTTCTATGATATTAATTATATCTGCAAAATTGCAAACATTTTATACACAAACTAGATAGACTGCTAAATAATTAATCATATACGTCCCCTGATTGCTGACCTTTCCTGCGGTTTCTAACTAAAAATCCATAATCAAAATGCGATTTGGAAAGAAAGAGTACAATAATTTGCAAATGAAACAAAGAAATAATAAGAGAAAACAATATTGATACAAGTGAGATTCGGTAGTCATGTAGGACCTATCATAATATACATACCAGCATTTCGCTGAATATGAAACATGTAAGCATCTACTTTCTTTTTTCTTTTTGATTTTGTTTTTTCCTAAGACAAGTTCTAAGAATCTACCAATTCTTTTCCCTATAAATATCTGACTACAACGGGTATGACACAACTACACACGATCTCTCTGATGACCCAGGTCCGTAAGCCAAAAAAATAAAACAAAAAAAGGAAACTCAAAGCACATTTCAAATTCCTCTTCAATGACATCCCCAGCTGCAGATCAATAAAACTCCGCATTAATGAATTTTCCTATTCGTGATGAAACCATCTTCATGAGAAGTTAGCCAAAAATGCTCTTTTTTTTTCACCGCTGAAAACCAGGAAAGTGCACGTATTGACCAGTGACCACTTTGGAGGAAGAGATATAGAACAATGGTGACTTTGATCAGTGCTACCTATCAAACTCATTAAGCTTGTAGCACCTCTAATCGAATAGTAAGACATTGATTCAAACCATGTTGCAGTGATTCTCATAAACGGACGGGCACCAGAGAGAACATACAACTGAACAAATTCACTACAAACGCTCCTGCTCTCCATGATTCATTGAATCTGGCGGAGTTTGTGTCTTAATCTGATAAGCCTTCTTTGCCTGCCTATCATGTAAGATGGTTTCCTGTCGCCCAGTATACATCCCGCCATTCGCAGTCACAGCTTTGTCAATCCACTTGGGAGGGGGTGCTGGAAGTGCACCTGTGTTCTGCAAAAACTGGCGGAACGTGTTTGATGAGTTTCCCGAATTTGGCATTCTAGGCGACATCAAGGCAGGTGATCTGGCTCTCACATTGTCTTCCATTGTCAAAGCAGACATCCCGGCTCTCATGTTGCGGTGCTGTTCTTGATTATGTGTTCTATCTGGTGTCCTAAAATTCTGCGTACCATTCGAGACTGGAAATCTAGGCCTACCCATGTGGCCCTGAGGAGTGAAATAATTGTCACAGTAAGCATTTGGATCTTGCCGGAAGCCTCTTTCATATCCAGAAGGTCCAGCTGGTCTTGATCTAGTTACTGGATAGGAGCCTGGGAAATTTCTAGATGGTGGCTGCTCCCACAATCCAGAGTGTGAATCATTGGATTTGAGATTTAGGGAGTTCTTGACAAGACGATGTGCGGCTTCTCCCAACTGAGGGCCAGTTATTGCTCCAGACACTTGTTGTCTGTAAAAGAGATGCATCAGATTTAATAATCTATTCCCTTGTCACGGAGGGTTCGATTAATTAATACGAAGGATCTTCAATATTAGATAGACCAAAATCGAGCCCAGTAATCAATTAAGATGAAATAACATTTTCAGGTTCTTTCTCATGATTCTGCGTGTAACTGGAGAGGTGGAAGCTTCACACTTGCACGTCAAAGCAGAGTTGGTTCTAAAGCAATGAAATAGACAGTACAAAAATTGTAGAATTTACCATCAAAGTAGAAGAATCGCATTCTCACCTTTCCCTATATTGGTTGCGCCGGGAATTGTCTTCATGCCATAACACAGGGAATGGTTTAATATCTATTGGATTTAAAATCTGCAAATTAAAAAAAAAAAAAAGGTCAAAAGTTTGCCCATATCTTAAGCAGAAATAAAAACAAAAAGGATAATAACAGCGCGGGAGCACAAGAAGTGCTAAATAAGCAAATATTGAAACGATTAAAAAAGAGAACAAAAAAAATAAAACAGGTCTGTCTTCAAACATGCAGATGGTAAACGACCAACTTTACGGTTACTGCTAACCCATGCAAGGAACAAGTACTTTTACAACAAAGGCTACCTTGGGTAAAGCCTAAATGATGCACATCTCACTTGACCTAGAAGAAATATCATTCCGTTGTACTGCCAATACTTGTAAAAAAACTGACCAATATAGATGCATGCTTGATGTACTTAAAGAAAGAATCAACGAAACACTAACCACACAAACAACAGACGAGAACAAGTACGTTCCCCAACTTTTAGGCATTCAGAACAAGAATCAACGGGGAGTTTTTGAAAGCACAAGAACTCGAGTACCTTTTCGGGCATGAACACACCATTGGGAGGTTTTGGGATGTGTCTATGTGCAGCGGGGTTAAGATATGCAATAGTTCTGCAAACAAAAAAAAAATGCAAAAGTTCCAACATGTAATACTCAATTATTTAATTTTCCAGATAAGCATGGTAGGAGTACTACTTACAAGACTTGGTTATGCTCGATGTCCTGAAATCCACTGATAGGGGACGGGACTACATTTCTCATCCAACTCCTCTCGCATAACCAAAGGTATCCATTCATTCCACCACTGTGAAAGTTCACCACAGAATAAGTAAACCAGAACATGTAGTCATGCTTGATAGGTAAATATTAAGGGACCCAAAGATTAAACAACCTAGCATTTGTGTCAATCGCACAAGGAACTCTTGTGAATTGGGGCATCCGATGATTAAGTTGGTAGTATATGTAGATTTGTGAAGCCAAAGGATGTGCACGATGAACATAAAACAAATCATTCATCACACTATTTCGTATCTGCTCTTCCTCCTGGTAAACCAAAATTGAAAGTGTTCATACTTGAGCACAAAAGCTGAAAAATGTGTGTATATATATATATACATACACGCGCACACACACACACCCACACACACATATATATACATGAAAATGCTAGACATCAACTTTGGTTTTGATGCTAATAATATCCCTGTAAGTCCAAATGTCAGCTAGATAACATAGAAAATGGAAGGGGCCGAGCAGAAGGGAATAAAAGGAAGGGTTATCCATCCCGTTGTTTCCATTAGGACAAATATGATCTGATGTGGAAATTCTATGAGAAATAAGCAGCAAAAGAAGTTCGTTTCTAGTAATTGAAGAAGCTATAACATGCACATCCGATAGACCGAAATATTAATTCTCTAAGTTCTGCATCTCTATAGTTCAGAACAGCAATATTCTAAAACGAATTTGAGTGAAAAACTAAACAAAAGATTGTATAAAAGCAATTTTCCAGACCGTTAAGGTGCTTTCAAGCTTCCTTATTGCTCCAAGCAACTTCCTCTCATCAATGAATGGCAATTTGGCAACACCCTGATGCAACAGAGAGGAATTTGACACAACTGTTATTAGTTTTCCAATAATTGTGCAGAGACATGACAAATATTCACATTAACAGACACTCTACCTGCCATGAAAAACGCTTGCCGTTCATGTCAATCTCAACATCTGCATAAGAAACAAAAGGCAAAATAAAGTCCCATTGAAAAGGAGAACCAAACGACACAACATATAAACATAAATTTTAAATTTAATTTTACCAGGAGGGTAGAACGCATAAATAGGTGATGATGGATCAGTCATCAAGTTTCTGTATTTCTCTGGTAGAGCACTTGAACTGCAAGAGAAAATTCATAAGTATAACCATCACTGCAACCGGTGTATATAACCAAATCATATGTCATTATCAATAAATTTATGTGAATTTCAACTAGGGAGAGAAATGGCACCTAGCAGCTGGCAAAGTTCCCATAAGCTGTTCAAAGGGTTTGAATGGCTCACCAATGAAAAATGTTATTTCCAGTTCCATCAGATCTTTCAGATCGGAAGCAAATGGGGCATAATGGTATGGATAATACCTAAGCAAACAGTAACAAGAAAAAAGCACAGTTATTGACAGACAACTGTCAGTAACAGAGAACCGGTTGCAAATAAACATAAAAACAGCATGAGAAATCAAGTTATAAATAGTTTGAACGAAACATATTGTGTTTCACTTTTGAGCGGTGCTCAAAAAAAATTCAAGAGACTGAGTCAGAAGTATATAACACCACCATTTGGAGTTTAAAATTTCTATTTAAAAAGCTGACATATGTACAACCAAGAGAAAAACCAAAAATTCACCGAGATGGGCAGATTCAATGATCATCGGTCAAACTACGAACTGGACACATATAGAGACTGGTTACAGATCGATTTCAACAAGCCAAGCTCAGGTTTTAGATGCTGGTCAAGTTTAACAACTACTATGGTAAAAGCAATGCCCTGCTCATTGCGAAGCTTTGGAAGAATCTCCAAAAATTACAGCATTTCCTGTCTCATTTTATCCATGGGTATTTTTTGCTCAAATATCCATGGATTTATTGAACACCTTGGTGAGAGATTCTGACAGATTATCTCGACAATAACACAACTCATTGATCATTTTCTCGTCCTTTATTTTCCTCCTCAACACAAGTTGAACAATTATTCACTCATATGACTTCGAGAATAAAAGTCTTCTAAGATCCTTGGTCTTAATGAACATTTATTTTTCCTTGCAAGTTGCAAATAGAAAACCAATAAAGTTGCAAACAGAAAACCGATAAAGTTCATTTAAACAGCAAAATGAATAGCAGATGAAGGAGAAAGAAGTTATTTTCAGCTATCAATCACAAACTGACCATTTCCATGAGCAAACACCTTGGTAGTAGTACTGACAAACCCAACATAAGCCTTCTACATATTTCAGAACCTGCAAACAAAACGTACATATATTTGTCATCCTATAATTTTAACACTTGATTCATCGAAACTCTTGAGTGGAAAAAACAAAAATAAAAAATCTTGCTGACAGAAGAAAAGGGACTGCTTACAACTTTAAACTTTCAATAATACTAAGAAATGGGTAACATTTCAAGCACGGGCATTTTGTGCTATCTAAAACTTAAAAAATGAATAAAAGTCACAACAGAAACAATTACGAGAACTGTACATATTGGTGACAAACGCACACTTCAAAACCACTTTGAAGGATCCTTGATTAAAATGGTTGCACAAGAACTCAAGAACTTACTGTGTCTTTCCTAACTTCATCGATCTTCTCAGGCGTTGATACACCAAATTTCTCAGCATAATACCTTTCTTTGTATCCAGGTTCCCCCAGCTTAACCTGAGAAAAATAGAACAATGAAATGCTAAAGCATCTACAAGAAGAATTAGAATCCACATGATCTGACCTTGGCCTTGCTTGGTCCACCTACTTTAGAGGCCCACAGTTAAGCAGAGCCCCGCAAATACAAAAGGCTAATGGTAGAGTGCAATCAGATCAGAATTATAAAGCAACAAATAACCTAACACTCGCTGTAGCCACTCTCTAAAACAACAACAAAATTTGCAAGACTACAATAATTGAAAGGATTATCTTCAAAAAGAAAACTGCATTTTTGTTATCTTTCAAATGCAACATACAACTAATTAAAAAAAAAAAAAGGAGATAAAAGAAAGTAATAGCTTAAGAGTACACAACATGGAGCACAATTACCTAAAGCATTGGGAAGCAGAAAAGATAAAACCAAGTTGATTATGGAAGAATAGAACCTCATGGCATTGCCAGATAGGACAAAAAAAAGTCTGGAAAAGGGTGTTTGGGGCCTAAATTTTTAATATACAGAAAACAATAATTTTCTACAGAAAATAATAATTTTCTGCAGAAAATGTTTTTTTTTATAGGAAAAACCCTTCATAGATAATTAAATCAATTATGAGGAGAAAACGGAGGCTAAAAATACAGAGACAGCTCAACAAGAGAGAACCACATCCTCAAAATGAAGGAAAGTTTGCAAATCTGGATTACCAAAAAAAATAAATAAATAAATTCTGAGAAGTTCTTTTGATTACGAAGACAATAGAGTTGGAGACATACAGTTGTTCTCATTTTCGACAAAGAAATTCAGTCCCAGGATGAAGTTAAACAACAAACCTTGTCTACCACTGGAGCCTTCTCTACCACCAGAGTCTGTTGCTCCCCGTTTGCCTCTCTTTTGGCTCTTCTCATCTCCCCATTATTCTCGATGGCCTGCTCAACAATACTATAATTAAGAAAAAGTATCCACTTCCTGTCTACATTGCAAAAACAACTCTCACCTAGAAGTAACAATGCCACTGGGATAGCACATTCTTAAGCCATAATCATGAAAACGCAATTATAAATATGTTTAAAATAAGCCATGACTAAAACCATGGATTGGACTAATGGCTGGGGGAAATGATGAAATATGTAGTTAAATTAAGGAGAATTCAGAAACCTGCTGAATTCGAGCCCGCTTCTGAAAGATCTGGTCTTCATAAACAGCCACTGACTGAATAAAGTGCTCTACTCTGTCTAACAACACCTGGAGAGTGAAATGGTCAACAGCATGACGTTTATTAGCACGACCTGACACCGCGTGCCTAAAACTTATTTATAGCCCTAGAAACATAAGAAAGCCTAATGAACCCAAGAGACCCTAATGAACCCAAGAGATCTTGAAACTCGAAACTAGAAATTAAAATAAAACTCCATCCATGAGAAAGCGAAATGAACAAAATAAAACTGATGGAAATTTCAGTAGGTCAAAACAGGCATGAACCCCAACTAACCAGCGTCGAGAATTTTTCTTTTGAGTGATTTTTTTGAATTAGACTACATTTACTACTTGTCCTCATGGATCATAATATATAATCTAAAATGCTATTGTGACCATGTGACATATTTAAGGATCTTCAAAGGGGTATTATATTATGATTAATTACAGTGTCTTTTTTTTTTGGGTAAGAAATTACAAAGTCAATTTAGTTGTTACTTCCATATGTTAAATAGCAAACCAAAACCTGTAAAGAAAAATAATTACCTCACCCGCATCAGTAAGATAACCACCCATAGCAGCAAACTCTCTTCGATAAACATGCATCAATAAATTAATGGCACCCTGAAAAGATAGAAATCGATACTTCAGCATAACAGAGAGAACTAAAAGTGGAACGCAAGAGGAAAGTAAATTTTTTCTTTTGTTGAGAGATTATATAAAACCTATACAATCAGCCTAACACGTATAAGTTTCAAAAAAAGGATGCAACGAATTCTTTCGTGTTAGTAATTCATAATAGGCAGATGATGAAATCCAATGCAACTCGTTAAAACAACAGCAAGCCAGATACCACGTACCTCCCTGATCTCTAATGTAGGCATATGTGGAAGAAAGTCATTGCCGACAAAAAAACAAAGGAGGACAAAATCATCCACTACTCGTTCAAAATCAATATCAAATGGAGGGTCGGGAATGTCCAGCTCATATTGCAAATATTCTCGCAATACCCAGATGTTGAGGAACTGCCCACAGTAAAATATTTCAGGAAGAGAGAGAGAGAGTTATGAGGTAAATGAAGCTACAATGCTACATCAATGAAATGAAGCCAACTTCCCAACCTGATATTTCCTCTTGTGAATTGGAGTTTCATCTACCACATTCCAATCTAACGGGTCATCCGGTTTACCACGACACTCAGCTGCCAGATGACCAATCTGACCGCAGACAAAACACTTTTCTTGCTGCCCAGGCAGAGTAATCAACTGTATTTGGAGCAGGGGGGAAAAACACGATATCAACTAGTAGCAATAAATGGGTTATAAACTTATAGGCTGTCCAGAAGACAATCATAACTAACCTCTCGTAGTATTGAGAAATGAATTTCATGCGTAGCTAAAGACAACATAATGAGATCCGCATCCTGATTGCAACAATCAAATCAATTATAATTAAACAAAAAACTCATCATAAGGCCCAAAGGAAGAAATAGAAGAAAAAAAAGAGATAAAAGATAAAGAAACATAAAAATGACAAAAGATTGAAAACAAGCATCGATTGACAAAATGATTAAAGTTAAAACCACTCACCAGACCATACAGACAATGCCGAGTATTAGGATCAAAACCAGGAAGGTTACGTTGCAATCGAATGTATGTCATAATTTTGTGTTCTCCCTCACCAGGAACATTTGAATCAGAAAGAATAACCTTCAAATACCCAATGCAGCCCCATAAATAAACTTAGAGAGACAGAGACAGAGACAAAGTATCCTGAAAACCAGAAGTATATGGAAATGTCGAGAAGGGATTACTCCATAGGCAAGGAATCATCCGATCTTGAATGCACAGGGAGGTGGGGACTAAATAGAATAATTTTATACCGACCTTTGTAGACCGCCAGCCAGGGTTGCGATTCAACCTACTTTGAATGTAATACTGAAGTGCCACCGAGAGCACTGCCATAAACTGAGTTCCAGGAGTAATAACATTCGAGTCGGAAGTTTCAGACTTCTCTGTGAGTGTCAAGTTTCTCTCCTCGTCCTCAAATTCTTTCTTCAATCTTTCTTCCTCAGCTGCCTAAGAAAAAAGTACATAAGGGCAATAAGTTCACTGCCTATTAAATGTTAGCCGCCCATTCCAATAACATGGGAAGTAAATCTTACTGCTTCCGCAGCGTCTTTAGCGGCTCTAAAGCGTCGAGAACGTTGCTGATTCATTTTAGCTCTTGGAGCAACACCATCTGTAAAATTCAAGGAAAATCTTATTTCGAAAAAACCTATGCACGCAGTGGCACTAAGCTCAATACTTCGCATTCTAAGCAAGGTTCAAAATGTGGTTCTAGTAAAGCCCAAAAGAATTAGAGAAATTCTCACCAATTGCCAGATAAAGAAGCTTTCTTGGGCGAACCAATGAGAAGAGATGGTCAATGTATTCAAATATAGATTTGAATACATCATTGTAGGTAGCTGGAGCGGGCTGAGCATGAAAAGAGAATAACATGATCAGGGAAAAATTTTGAAATACATGGGTTTAATACGAAAGGTGCCATCTTTACAAACAAGTTCAACTGAGCTAACGCCCAAAAAAATATAAATATATATATATATATATAAATGTATGTATGTATGTTTGGCATTCCTTTGTGTGCTCACTTAACACCAATTTAACTCCAATTTGTAACTTGAACAAACTACCAGCTTGTTTATGCACAGAAATTATAGAGAAACAATCAGAAACTGTTTCATTCCCTGTGGCATCTCGTTCGAAAGCAAATCATTGTTAACCTCCATAGAAACTAAAACATTTCTCCCTCGTACTCAAAATTCAAACTTATAATTCCACTTCTCACCTCCAGACTCGAATTAAGAACAAAAATCAATGGAATCACACAAACACAAACTAATGAAATGACAGATGAACAAAACATCTTAGCATATCTAGTCGAGGGAAACGAAGAACAATACCTTGCCCTCGGGGTGAAAACAAGGATGAATAAGGCCGTTCATGTCGAGGTAGAGATTGTCGAACTCCAAGCCGTTGGGATTAGGTTTGGAAACGTCGATGGGCATGGGGATGCCATTGGAGTCCTCCTTGGGCTCTTCCTCGACGACATCGGAAATCGAGAGCGGGTACCGATCGGCCAGCCAACGGTAGAACGCCGGCACGCCCATGGATTCGGCGTCGTTTTTTGCGCTTCGTTCTGGATCGAGCTTCTTTTCTGTTGGTTGGGAGATGTCTACAGAGAGAAAAGGGTCGTTCAAGATTTGTGAAGTTGGCTGCGAATACTGTGTGCTGTACGTACGTACGTCCGGTCCGGTTCATTGGTGAAAATAGTAGAAAGACGAGAATACCCTTCACTGAGGCGGCCGCGTTTTGTCAAATTTGGATTGTGTGTATGAATGGTTATGGATGGTTGATTTGGTGGGTTTGTATTATTTTTAATGTTATTATTATTGTTGGAGGCTTCCAGAGTCCGTCGGACACTATTTGACGAATTGAAACATTCACTTTATAAATATACTAAAGGAGAGTTGGGGTTTGCTGTTCACGCAGACACAATTTACTATTTTTTTATAGTGAAATGACCATTTTATCCTCGATTTACTGCTCCTTCATTTGTCTGGCGCAGGGGTGATTTGGTCTTTTAACCCGTTTGTGATGAATTGTTTTTCTGCTTTTGCCCCTGTTGTTTCTCCTTTCTGGATTTTTGGGCTTTGGTTTTTTGGTGATTTTGCATCCAGTAGGGGCCTAATTTTTCTTTTGTCCTCGATTCCCTCATTTCTTCTGCCTGCTTCAGTTCTTCGATGGAGCCCTAATTTTTTCCATTTTTGCCTCGCCATTTTCTTCGTCTCCCTTGCCCTAGCCTTTCTTGCCTCTTCAATGTCCTCATTTTCTCCGCTTTTGTCGCCCCATTTTGGCATATATAATTTTGCAGAAAATGGTGTTACTCTGTGATTTGCGTTTTGGCTTCTTCGGCGGTTTTATCGGTGGCTTTCTTTTGATTTTCCCCTGTGGTTTTGGTCGCCGGTGCTCTGACTCATTTGGGCTTTGGCAGAGGCTTACGGTATTTTCTTTGTTTGCCTCTATACTAGTTTGATTAGTGATTTTGATTTTGCCTTTTGCATGGTTTTGGGCAATTGCACGTTCCATCATCTTTTTTTTTCCTTGCTGGTTTTAATGATTTTTTTGCACTTTCAGGTTCTCGCATGCTTCGCAGAAACCTTAAGCTCTTATGCCTTTTATTGTTTCTCATTGAAACCTTAAGCTCTTATCCGTCTTCCATTTTCTCTTTTTCTTGGCCTCTTTCGCCTTTCTTCATGGTTTCGTTTTTGTTGCCTTTCTCCCTTGATTTTCATCAGTATTGTTGGCTTTTACTGCTTCCTTCTTCGAGCGTTTTAAGTTGTGGCTTTGGTTTGATTTTTTCCTGTTGTTTTGGTGGAAGTTCCTTCGGTTCATCTGGGTTTTGCTGCGGCTTTTTTGGCTTTTCTAGGCTACCTCTGTCCCGGTTTGATTTATGATTTTATTTAGATTTTTGTGTCGTTTTGGGGGGCTGCATGTTCGATCATTTTTCCCCTCTGGCTTTGATATCTTTTTCTGTGTTTCTCTTTATTATTTACTTTTGTGCTTTATGTATAAAAATTCTTCAGTATTCATTAAGATTTGATGCAATTTCTGATTAGATCACATAAATGGTTTTTGAGAAATTATCCTTGAACGCTTTGTGTTTGTTCTGGATTGGTTCTTTTATTGGGAGAGTAGTTTCTATCTAGATGCTTTTGTGTTGTTTCTGGCTAATTTTGGTTTTGTTTTTCCATATTTATTGAGTTGCTGATGTGTAGGGTGCACAATGTTGATTTGTCCTGCTATAATGATGATTTATGCTTGCTTTGCTACAGAGGTATTAAATGGATTCTTGATTTTTCCTCATTATTTGTGATGAACGAAAAATTTTGGGGAAAAAAAATCCTCTGCCCTTTTTTTTCCTCTTTTTTCCTTTCCCTGGGGACATTGTTATATTTGTATTTTAATTCTTTGTTTTTTTTCTTTTCCTTATTATGAGTAATGCATTGTTTTTATTATTTAATTAGGAAATTTTAGTTCTTTACCTTTTATAAACCGACTTCATACTTTTACGTGTGCATTTTTTACAAGTTATGGATCTGTTTTCTTCTTCTTTATTTAACCATGTTGCTGCACATGAATTTATCATGCACATCTCTCTTTCTTTCTCTGCATTCCACGTTCTTGCCTCTTTATCTTACTCTTACTCATTTACTACTCTATTTCATTCTCCATCATTTATTGCTTGATCAATTTATCCTTCTCTCTTTCACTGCTTTTGCTCATGTTTGGTTGGCTGATATTTCAGATGTAAGGCAAAATTTATAGTCATCCAGGTACTGTTTATAACCCTTATCCATAGTTTTTTAATTGCTACTGCCGATGTTGGATGTATTGGTTTGTTGTACCGGTATTAATGTTTATTCCTTATGCTTTATTATCTATCTTTATTTTCTATTGTGTTTGTTTAGTAAATAATGCTCATGTGTTGACTTCCTATTTATTTTTCTTAGCTACGTACACACACACATATATATATACATATTTTTACTTATGTTAGTTTTCGTAAGTTTTTCTAGGTCGCAATGATGATTATGATTGATTTTGATGTGTTAAATTATATATAAGTTGTCCAAAGATTGCTATGAATACATTTTCTTATTTCGATTATGTTTTTATATACTATTTTTTAGTAAAAATACTTTGGTACTTTTTCTTTTGTTATTTCTACTTAGATTTGACCTTTTAGCTTATCCCTATTTACTCTTTTGTTCAGAAATTATTTATGTCTGCATTTTCATGTAAAAAAATTGTGGGAAAAGAACAAGAAAAACAAAAATCCACCTATTCTGTTTTATTACTATTATGACATTCTTCATCTTTTAATCATCCTATTTGGTGTTGCTCAGTTTGTTTTTATTGTCCATTTCTTTTACTTTGTTTTGGCCTGGGATTTATTGTTCTATTAGTATTATTGTTTCTTTTCCTTTTCTTTTAACTTATTTGGTAGTTTTTAAACAACTTTATATATTACTATAGTGCATATTCCGTGTCAGATTCAACTTATAATCTGTCTTATTGTTGTTTAATTTATTTCTATTGTCCATTTGTTTTACTTTCTTTTGCTATAGGCTTTATTATTTTCTTAATGTTGTTTTTTCTTCGCTCCGCTCCTTTTAATTCACCTGATAGTCTTTGGACATCTTTATATGTTACTTAACTTACTTTGTCTCACATATGGCCTATAATGTGTCTGATAGATATAATGTATTTCCCTTTGTGTAGTTGTCCCCGGTAGACAACCACAATCTATTTATCATGCATTGCTAAGAATATTCCATATCTGAGCCACCATTACCCTATAAAAATATTGTTATATCTATACTGATTGGTTTTCTTAATCTTTTTTTTTGTTTTTGTGTATATTGTTATATCTATATTGATTAGTTTTCTTAATCTTTTTTTATTTGTGTGTTTATTCGTTCATTTACTCATTTGATTATCTACTTTTTTCAAGGTTTTCTGCATCATTTACTACTGTTAGTGTTTGGCTAGCTCATATTTGCTTCCTCAAGTAGGATTTATAGTGTTTCAGGTATTATTAATAATTTTTACCCACAACTCTTTAATTTATGTTGCCTTTACTATGGTTAATGTTAAAATGTGTTCTTTTCGACACCATAAACAAATGATGTCAATGCCAAGTTGTGGGAAAGATTCTTTTTTATTTCTATCAATGTTAGTAGCCAATATCTTTTTTGTTTTGTTTTATATCCTATTTGTGTTTTAATCACTAAATCTCTAAGTTGTTTTCTCATTCTATTTATCCTTTCTTTTCCTAGAGTTAAAACTTTTTACCTCTTTTCTCTTTATTTTGTTGTTATGATTAGGCCATTTTACTATTGCTCTCCTTTTCTCTTCTTTACTCCTCTTATGTGGTCATAATGATTGCAATTAATCTTTATATCTTGAGTTTTGTATAATTTATCCAAATATTATTGTGAACACACCTCCCCCATGCAAATTTAGAACTTTTTATTTATATCTCTTTTACTCTTTTTACTTATTCCATCATTTTTCTTCTTTTAGCATTACTACTTTTGCTTTAAAGGTTTTTCTTTTTTTATTTAAATCTCTTATTACCTGAATTTGGTATATGCAATTTTGTCTCCTTTTTTTTCCCCTAGCTTATCCTTTTCTCATGTTTTGCACATCGTTTTTTTTTTTTTGTTATTTTTACTTATACTAGGCCTTTTAGCATAGTCCTATTTACTTTTTTGTTCATAAATACTTTATCTTTGTATAAACATTCTTTCTTCATTACTGAATTCTAGCTTTTCTATTCTATTGTTGCAGTTTCATGCAAAAAAAATTATGAGGAAAAAAAAAAGAGAAACAAAGATCCTACTATTTTGTTTTACTTCTCCCATGACATTCTTCATTTTTTAATGGCCCTATTTGTTGTTCCTCAGTTTGTTTTTATTATTCATTTCCTTTACTTTCTTTTATTGTGGTTAGTATCGTTGTTGTTTTTTTATTTATTTTTCATTTAACTTACCTGGTAGTTTTTGCACAACTTTATATATTAGTACAATTGCTTACTCTATGTCATATACAGTGTTGGAAGTTCGGGTCGGCGGGCTACCTGAAGCCCGAATTTTTTCGGGCTCGGGCGGGCAAGCCCATCTCCTGCCCGCCTAAGCTAGATTTTTGGGTTCGGGCTCAGGCAGCCTGAATTTGACACTAACTCTCTTGCCCGCCGCCGTCTAACCGCCCTATACCGCCGTCTGCCGGAATTTTTTTGAATTTTCCGACCATGCCCGACCCGCCCGAATTGCCCGACCCGAAAATAAGCTCGAAAACCCGAATTTTGCCCGAAGCCCGATTTGCCCAAAACCGCCCGAAAATTTTAGTTGCTACAAATTGGGGCATTCTGATAATCAAACTCGGGACCTCTCACACCCAAAACAAGAATCATACCACTAGACCCAATGCCCATATTTGTTATTTAAATTTTTAACTTTTTAATTAAGGTAAACACACAATTCTTTAATAGAAAGAGCAAATTCCTATTTTAGCAGTTTAATATTTCAGTTTTCACATTCTTGACCCTTTTTATAATCAATCACATGATAAAATGATTCCTCAAAAAACAATATACACAAGAAAAGAAACACATTGCCATCACGTTTTTATTTTTAAAAAGTGATGTTT